CAATTCTTTTATCAATAGATATTTATATATGCGTCCTGGGTATGACGATAAACTACGTCCAACAGAAAGGCCGCTGATCAGGCAGCTTTGAGGAGCGTGGAACCACCTCTTAATTGCTGGTGTTCCCAGGTCCACCCTGACCCCGGGTGGTAGCACCTGTTAGGGTCCCAGCTATGGGCAAATAGTTAACCCCAAAACTGAGGTAAATAGCATTACGAAAGTGTAAAAATAGGTTTTAATACCAGAAATACTTTGTAAAAAATTATTACCAGCAATATGTTTTGGAAAATAATATTACCAGCTATACAATTTTGAGGAAAAAATATTATGAGAAATAGATTTTTGACAAAACAAAAATATTACCAGGAAAAAAAAATGTTGTCAGCATTAAATGACCCATTGAGGTTGATGTGCCGTAAAACAAAACGAAACAAACAAACAAACAAAACAAAACATTTATATATGTTTATACATATTAGGTGGATGATTTGAATTTTTGTTTATGTAAGGTTATTCTTTGTTTTTACATATATATATTCAAACATATACTGTTAAATATAACAGACAATGAATGTCTATTGTGTTTGATCATGAGCCATTCTAAGCTTCGTATAGTTGCTTTAGTTTCAGGAGAAAATAAAGATAAAAACTGTCCAACATTTGGATATTTTTTATTATGTTCTTCATCAATCTAAGCTTTCAGCCCATGAGTCATCATCAGAGTGGTTATATGGACATTTCAATAAAGATATTCACCATCAAAGATGATATCCTGTTATGTTTTACATAGAAGTTGCTATGCAATGATAATGGTTGTGGAATAGCTGATGCAGGTCATAAATTTGTGATGCAGTTCTATGTTATTCCACAACCGTTATCATTGCATAGCAATTTCTATGTTTGCCTACATAAACACGAACAGAATGAAATAAGAAGATTAATCAACTATAATAACAAAATGCATATCCGAGTTTTGCAAAACAAACTCAAATATACTCATTAACAATAGCAAATGATCCAATATCGGCAGAAAAGACCTAATAACAAACTTATCCAAATTCTATCAGATACATAATTAGAAGCTCTCAGTTTGGGCTAGAAATTTGCCACTGGAACACCACAGATTACATAATTAAAAATCACCACCACATTGACTCTGATTTTACAAAAGGCTATATCCAAGGCCTAATCACAGCTACATACACAAAAACAACTGACACCACACTTCCTTGAAGATATATAAAAGCCCTAAAAGAATTAGCTAACAATAAAAAAAAAATCCATATATCTACTTCTGATAAGGGCAGGGGAATTGTAATAAATGGATAAACACATTTACCAACAGAAAATGAGAGAACTCATTAATGATGACAACATCTGTGAAAAAGTAAACGAAAACAAAGCTATAAAAGAAACACAAAAATTCACAAGCGACATCAAAAAGCTAGTAAAAAATGAAAACTTCTCCTGGATAAAACTTATTGAATACCATCCAAAAACACCCACATTATACAGATTACCAAAAACACATAAAGCGAACATACCAATGAGACCTATCATATCAGGGATAGGCAGCACCCCACATTAACTAGCCAGTATACTAAGCAAAATCTTAACCCCAATCCTCTACACTATTAGCCCATTACACATAAAAAAAATTCAGGTGACCTCCTAGACAAATTAAAAAAAAAAGACATTAAAAACAAAGCTGGCTAGTTTAGACATAAAATTTCTATACGCAAGTCTCCCTATAGAGAAATGCTTAAATCTACTAAAAAACACCTAACAAAAGCAAAAATTAAATTACCTTTGTCTACACATAAAATCATAAAAATATGCTAAGCAATGTTTCTTTACTTTTGATAATCAACTTTACAGACAAAAATTTGGTTTACCAATGCGATTTCCTCTCAGTAATATTCTTGCTTGTCTATTTTTAGAGTTTCTAGAAAGTGACCTATTCAAAAACATTCTACCTCCAAACTCTTCCTATTTCAGATACATACCTGACTCACTACTAATATATACACAAAATACAAATTAACAGATCTTATCAACCAACTTAGCAATGTTGAACTTACAATAGACATCACATTTGAAAGTGAAACCAACTACACTCTTCCCTTCCTAGATATAATGTTACACAAAATCAATAACAAACACAATTTTGATGTTTATAGAAAAGCTACAAACAAAAATGACCTGGTCAGTTTCTACTCAAACCACTCTTCTAAAATTAAATTTGGAATTATTATAGGTTTCTATCTGAGAGCATTAAGAATCCGCAGTCCCCAATATTTACCTCAAGAAACATACGTAGAAAAAACATATATGTATAAATGTATACACAGAGACACACATACCAATGGGAAAAAATGGCTTTGGATAGAAGTAAGTGGCGGAAACTAATTCACGAAGGCATTGAATCCTTTGAGAATAGCCGTATGCAGTACAGTGCCTACAAACGTCTGATTCGTAAAGGCGAATAGGGTTCAGCACGGGCTCCACAAATTCACGACGTTAATTGTGACATATGCGGAAAATTGTGCCTATCTTTTGTTGGCTTCAAAAGCCATTTGCGTAAATGTGCAAAACCTAATGTTATATATATGCATATAAATATGTGTAAAATATGTGTGTGCATAAATATATGTATGTATTTATGTGTATAAATGTATCTATATATATGTATAAATTTATATATACATATATATATTTATATATTAATTTTAAAATATTATGTATGTTTGTATAAATATATACATATGTGTGTGTGTATATATATACATATATATATATATGTGTGTGTGTGTGTGTGTATATGCTGCTGACTGTGATCTTGTGGCTCACTTGGAAGGAGATATGCAGCATCTCATGGATGCTTTTTCTAATGCATGCACTGCACTGGGATTGATTATTAGTTTAAAAAAGACAGTAGTCATGTACCAACCAGCTCTAAGGAAGCCATATTGTGAACTAAGCATCTTTGTCTATGGTAAAAAGTTGAAGAGTGTTTGTATATCTTGGGAGAATGTTGAACATATTCTGTAATCTTGATGTGGAAATTTCAAACCGCATACAAAAAGCTAGCAGCACATTTGGAAAACTGAATAAATGTCTGTGCTCTCAGCATGGAATTTCATTGAGTACAAAGCTAAAGGTCTCTCGTGCATGTGTGCTCACAGCACTTCTTTTTATGCTTGTGAGACATGGATGGTTTACTGTAGACAAATGAAAAGGCTTGAGAGATTCCCCCATTACTGCTTATGTCGTATCCTTGGCATTACCTGGCAAATGCTTGTTAGTGATGTAGACATGCTAGAAAGGAGCAGCTGTGATTATATTGAGTCCTTGATACTAAAACATCAACTTAGGCGGACGGGCCACTTTGTTTGAATGGATGACAGCTGTATTCCAAATGGTGAGCTGCGAACATAAAAGAGAAATGCCACCAAACCTAAGATGCGCTTTTAGAATTGCATCAAGGATGCACTGAGGAAATGCTACATTCCTTGTGAGCACTGGGAAGAATATGCATCTGATTGCAATAATTGGAATGAGGCTGCTCAGAGTGGAAGGTATCACTTTGAGGAGGAGAGGAGGAGGCATGCAAGGCTTAAAAGAGATGTGTGTAAAGGCATCCCCATTGAACTTCCTTTAGACACCTGCAGACAGCTTGATCTAACATGTACAAATCTTGGTAGAGTGTGTTTGTTGATGGCTGGTCTAAGTAGTCACTTGAAAGCACACCGATGGAGAGTGGCAATTGACTATAAAGCCATAGATGTCCAGCAAATTAAATGTGATATTTGTGGTAAGACATGCGGGTCCAAAAGCAGTTTCATGTGACATTTTAAATTGTATGATAAGATAGCACTCACTGTTGCATCTCTTAAGTGCTCTGTTTGCACCAGAGTATGTAGGTCCCTTGATGGGTTAAAAAGCCACATTCGTTCAGCACATCTGTAGATATTCTCCAAAAAGAAAAAGATATATAGTAATGGCCATATACAGACACAAGTTAGCAACCACCATATACATATATATATATATATATATATATATGTGTATATGTGTGTGTGTGTGTATATATATATATGTGTGTGTGTGTGTGTGTATATATATATATATATGTGTGTGTGTGTGTGTGTGTGTGTATATATATATATATATATATATATATATATATATATATATTCACTTTAAATATAATTATATTTGAGTAGACAGTTTAATGATTTCATCTACAAGACTTAATGTTCAAGAAATCTCATTAAAGATAAACATGTACTCCCCTGCAGGATTCAAACCTGCATCCTCCTGGAACATCTGATAACCAAGATGGTTAATGGATGCAGATAATGATAACAAGGAAGCTCTTGGGTAATTTTAACAAAACAAGATAAGGTATTTATTTATGAATTTACATGCTTGAAGTTCTGTAGGTCGCTTGTTTCATGAAAATAAATCAGCAAATTTTGAAGTCCATATTTTCAATGAATTGTCATAAAGAGGTAATGTTCATACAACAGATTAAATGATCTGACACAAAATAATATTCAAAAATGTTTAAAACAAAAGATGTCATTGTTCATAGAAGGGATGTATAGTTGTATACATTCAAAAATAGACAAAGAGAGATAGTTTGAAATACTTAGCTTTCTTGGATTGTTGAAATAAAGTTATTTGAAGTGCCAACTGCTTCGTTAAGGCTGATAATATAACTGGTGAGTAATTTGACTCTGGCGAAAATCTGAATTCTGGAAGCATGAACAGAAATGAGACTTTTCTCATGATGTTGAATGCTCTTTTGTTGATGTAATTTTTTCCTTATTTTATATCGAAAAGGATTTCAACATTGACTTGCTATTTTCTTTTCTTTCGTTTTCTAAGCTCAATGGTTAATTCCTAGGTAAAAGGAGTTATTATTATTTGATACCCACTACAAATTAATGACCAGTATTCAAGTTTCTTTGATTTTTTTTTCTAATTTTTGACAGATTGAAGAATTAGACGCAGAATTCAACTTGAGAACACAACTGCATATACCAAGAGCAAAACGCATTGAACATGATGTCTACAATGTGAGAGCAGGTAGATATCCCAGCATGCAACATACAGTAACTTAAACATGTCTAGATTGTTCTCCAGTATATTTTCCTTTTGCTACAAGAGTTGAAATCTGAGCTTTCCTTTTTTTAAAACCATTTAGTACCCAGACATGGTTGTGAAATTTGATGAAAATCAGTGTAAATTGATATGTCATAAATTGTATATGCATGTAATTAAAAATTAGAATAATGTTTATAGTCCTCAGTGTGACTATAAACTACAACCATCAACATAGCCTCTGATAGGGAGATTGGCAGTTTTGAGGAGCATGTAACTACTTCTTAATTGCTGTTCCTAAGTTTACCCTAACCCGAGGTGGTAGCACCCTTTTAGGGTCCCAGCTATGGGTAAATAGTTAACCCTCAAACAAAAGCAAGACACTATGAAAGTATAAAAATACATTTTTATAGTCAAAATACCAGCAATACATATTTATATGAAAAAAATACCAACAATACGTATTTATATTAAATTTATCATGAATACAATGTTAAAGTAAAATGTCCTGCAATACATTTTATTGTAAAGTGGCTAACAATACATTTTATCTGTAGTTGAAGCCATAAAACTGTGTTCAAAATATTTCGATTTTAGCATTAAATCACTCAGAGAGCTTAATATGCTGCTAAACAAAATCAACCAACCAATTTAGACCCAATGTTTAAATTTACTTTTAAATTTTTTAAAAACCTTTAAAAAGCACATATTGTATTTTAATGTTTTCCGTGAATATTATTCATAAAAATAGAATAATCAAAATTAATACTCATCTGGTATTAAAAAACAAAACTCATCTTAAAATATGTTCCATGAATTGAACAAAGGGCATGAAAAGGTTATATTTAATAAGACACCGTTTTGAATTGGACATTTATTTCTAAAACCATTCAAGTGTTGAACAAATAATGGCTTTTTAAAAAAAAAAAAAAAAAAATTTAACATTATAATTTATTATTTTTAATCATTTTACCCCAAGCAAGGCAATAAAGCCACTAAGCCTAAGAGGATTACTGAGTGTGAAAGAATAAGAAAAAGAAAAAACATTATTAAGGAGCAAACACTATAAAATAACAGACATTAAAAAGACAGAAGATGATGGTTGGTATTGCATTTAAATTTTTGAAAATCAAAGTTGACTAGAAAGCAAGAAGCCAGAAGAGAGTTCTACAGGCAAGTAGTTTGAGAAAAGAAACTATTAGCATAGAACTCGTTTATATCTAACCAATTCAACTGTAAAATGAATGAGACCTTTCTGCCAATCTAGTACTGCACTTAAATTAATAAATTCTTTGTATCATAGAGGAAAGTTCATTAGAACAATTACCTTGAAAGTATTTATAGAAAAGGCACAGGGAAGCTACATTATGGCAGTGGGAAAGTGACTGAAGTCAGGATGCCAGGTCAGGACCAATAACATTGCAAATTCTTCTTTGGATTTTATCAAGAATCTCTGAATATATAGTATATGTGTCAGCAATATTCGAAGCATGGACAAATGGTAGACTTATATGTAAGATAGATTCTGGAGAGAAAAATTGTCTTGGACAATACAGTCAACCAACTTTCCTAGCAGCAGACTTGTTATAATTTTTTTTTCCTAGAAATTGTTTTTTGGCAATAATTAGAGGCAAATGACTTGGAAAACTTCATAATGATTAATAATAATCATCACTGCCACCACATCCACCTTCTTCTTAGTTTTGTGAAAGTTCTAGAAAAAAAAAACAAAGAAATGGAAAACTACTCCTCCATACATCCTCTCTTGTCTTCTCACAACTTGAAGCCAGAACCTTACTGCAGAAAACTGACTTTATTAATGAACAGGTTTCTGTTCTGCTTGTGCAAATCTGAAGAAAGACCTGTTATTTTTCCATAGTAGTACATATTTCAAGTATCCATCCTGCAACTATACTGTTGAAAATGATTCATTTTAATCTTCCCAGGTTATATTTACTGGCTTTTGAGTTGTCAGTTCACTATAATAATTTAGTCTCCTAATATTCAATAATGACCTGGACAACTTTTTGCCGTCTGGTTCTCCAGTGAACCACATGTCCTTATTTCATTTTCGGTTTATACCATATGGTCACATTTATTGTCTTTAGTTCTCCAAGCACAATTACACTAAAGAGCAATAGTTTGGGGATTCTGGATTTCAAAGAATTGCATAAAAATTGAAGATTTGCATGCCTTTTTCAAAACTAATTTATTAGCTCACTTAAGGCCTGAGAGACTTTCACGTCCTGAAGGGTTTTATCATATATTCAATATTAACAATAATGATAATAAAATTAACCCATTACTGTTTAAAGTTTCCTTAAAAGTTTATCTCCTTTTATCTAATCTTGCTTGTTGGTTAATTGTAATCAAAGAGTTGTCAGATTTTAAATTTTAGGTAACCTAAAAACTGGATGCCATATTCTGATAAGTTCAATAGTTTCAGCATCCTAGCTTAGTAGGAGTCAATTGAACCAAAGAAAATATGAAACTTACTAATTTTTAAATCCAGAGGGGGCCACCAAATGTTTGGATTGTAGTGTATGTGTGACTTGATTGAAGATGATTGAAGATATTAATAGTCTATCCATTGTATCAAAAAATGATTGCATATAAAATTGATAATCTGTTAAGTTCTTTATTTACATTACTCGGACTATTGTCCTCATCTTTGTCGCCATATTTATCACAACGTTTCAGCCGTTATACGCTCCGGCCTTCTTCAGGTGGTTGGAATGTCGAACTGAACCCTTTATTTCACTCAAGGACACATGGCACAGTGGATAAAGGTGTTGGTTAGACCCAGTGTGATTTCAATACCCAGTTAAGGCAGTGGGGAACTTTCAGAGGGAAAAATTAACAGGAGATAATTGATAGCTGACATCCATCAAATATGGCACGTGGAACTAGAACAGTCTGCCCCAGTGAGCAAAATAAAGGGTTCAGTTCGACATTTCAACCACCTGAAGAAGGCCAGAGCGTACAACGGCCAAAACATTGTGATAAATATGGCGACAAAGATGAAGACAATAATCTGAGTAATGTAAATAATGTACATAATACCTCATCTCAGAAATATAGACAGACTCTGTTAAGTTCTTATCATTATTTAAGTCTTTTCACATGAGACTTTAAATATATTTACCAATTATTATATTAACATATAGAAATTTTGATGGAATCAGTTTATTAATCACACTATAAGTCTACCATTTGCTCATGCTTAAAATATTGCTTCCACATAAGGTCCAGTGATTTTTGGTAAAAACCAAAGAAGATTCAGTAATATTATTGATCCTGATCTGGCATCTCAGCTTCAGTCACTTTCCCACTGCCCTAAGGTTGCCTCCCTGTGCCTTCTCTATAAATATTTTCATGATAGTTGCTCAAATGAGCTCCTTGCTATGGTACCAAGACTTTTTGAATTTAAGCGCACTACTAGTCTGGCGACAAGGTCTCATCAGTTTACAGTCGAGCTGGCTAGATGTAACCGTAAGTTCTATGCCAACAGTTTCTTCTCTCGCACTTCTCACGTTCCATGCTTTCTAGTCAACTTTAATCTTCAAAAATGTAAATGCAATGTTGCTTGCTATCTACTGTCTTCCTGATTACTCTTCTATTGTTTTGGCTCCTTAGTAAGATTTCTGTTTTCTAAGTCTTCTACACTCATTAACCCCTTGTGTCTTAGTGTCTTGGCATGACTTCAATTAGAAAAACAAAACAAAAAATGATCCTCCACTTTATGTCCAATATAGACTTTGCCATAAAAAAAGACAATATATTTTATTAAATTGTTAATATTATTACAAAGATATCATCTGTGAGGGATTAAATAAAGTTTTCCAAAGTTGTAATATGTGGTAATTATGTTAAGGGGACCAGTTTATTACTTAATAACAACAGAAAAACAATCCCCCAATTTATGCCCAGTATATGTGAGTCTTTAAATATGGCTTTCCAATTATCATTTAATATGGAGTAATACTGGGGGTTGATTTATTACTTTATAACAATAGAAAATCAATCCCCCAATTTATGTCCAGTGTTGAATCTTATATTAATATCTATTTTGTTAAGTATGTTAATGTTATTAGGTTTTCATATGTGAGTCATTAAATATATTTTCCATTTATATTAATATGCAGTAATTATGGTAATGGGATCAGTTTAAATCAAAGAGTATTGGTTGAAATATTGTGTCTATAATAATCAAGAGGAAAAGAATATTTTGAAATAATTACAAAGTACAACAAAATCTTGTTTCAAAAGTATTCTTTGTTTTGTTTTTTTTACTTTTCTTATATTGACATTTGAATCTTTTTTGTGTGTCTGTGCATAGATAATGGAATTCTTTTTCTGATTTTCAGGCGAGCTTCTCTTACATTCAAATCGTGTGGCTGAACATTGCCAAGGAGTGGAAAAGGCCCTGACTGATTTGAAAATGAAATTTTTTTCAATCAAACAACAACAAGAGAAAATGATGGGAGAATTTCAGAATGAAATTGAGCTGATGGAACCTGCCTTTCTAAATATTACAAAATCTGGAAGGTATGAACATTGTTTTTATAAACACTTGATAAACACTGAAACACTCTTCTAAACACTTGATAAACACTGAAACACTCTTCTAAACACTTGATAACCACTCAATAGTCATGAAACTGTGAACCATTTTCCAAACACTTGATAGTCAAAAAATGGTAAACCATTTTCTAAATACTTGATAAACACTCGATAGGTAATGAAATGATGAACCTTTTTCTAAACACTTGATAAACATGAAATGATGAACCATTTTCTAAACACTTGATAGTCATGAAATGATAAACTATTGTCTAAACACTCAAAATACTCTTCTAAATATTTTTCTAAATACTTGATAGGTCATGAAATGGCGAACCATGCAAACTTAAAATAATGGAAATCTGGTTGAATAACATGTTGTCTGTCTAATGGCTGTTGATTGTTTTTTATGGCTTACCAACCCTTTGTGGGTTATTTAAAGCCAAAGAATATATTTTGATTGAAAGAATTTTGTTTTTACACATGAATATTGCATTAACAAGTTTTTGGAAATAATGATTTTTTTTTTGTTTAATCAATTCACTCTATGCAAGGCAATAAAATCACTAAGACACAAGGAGTTACTGAGTGTGAGAAAAAGATAAAAATTACAAGAATTAAGAAAAATTTTTCCAGATGTCCTACTATTTAACCCATAGATTGGGTGGTTTCGAGGAGCATAGAACTACCACTTAATAGCTGTTGTTCCCAGGTACAACCTGACCTGGGGAGGTAGGCACCTGTCAGGGTGCCTACCTCCCTATGGGCAAATAGTTAGCCCCAAAACAAAAATCAAAAAACTAGGAAATTATAAAAATACCACCAATATATTTTTACAAAAATATTACTAACAATACATTTTTGTTGCAAAATTACCAGCAATATATTAATAAAATATATATTAATATATTTTTATTAAAAAAGATTACGAACAATACATTTTTATAGTAAAATTACAAAGAATACATTTTTAAAGTAAAACTACAAAGAATACATTTTTAAAGTAAAATTACAAACAATACATTACTAGCCATACATTCTATAATATAATTACCAATCATACATTTTATAATAAAATGACCAACAATATATTCCTGAAGTAAAATGACCAGCCACACATTTTTAGAGCTGGGGGTGAAGAGAAGGATTCATTTCCAAAGGGTACTTGTGCACAAGTAATTGAAACATACTTGACTAGAATTTGAATTCAGGTCTCTAATTCCTCATTCCAAGCCACTAGCGATTACACCACCCACACATCTATCTAATGTCTAAGAGTAGAAAAACACAATTTGAATTTCATAGTTGATAACCTATGCTCTATCCATTCCAGTGTTTCATTAGAAGGAGGAAATACCAAGATTTACCCAGTAAAAGGCTCGAGAGCAACTCAAATTAGAACACAACTGTTAAAATAGTAAATATGAATGGGGTGTATGATACAAATGCAAGTGTAGGTGTGTATGATGATAAGAAGAATAGATAACAATTGACCCATGACTTGAAGGAGTTAAGATTGTAGTGTTCAGGAAAGCACCCACGTGGGAGTCTGTTGCACAAAGAGACAGATTTTGGGAAAAAAACTGAGTGAAACTTTCTTCTTCCCTTCAGAACACAGAGGAGATGAGGGTGTTTTGACTCTGTAGCACAGCATGTCTTTGCAGTAAAGGTCTGGAATAATAACTCACAATTTGTTAATAGGCAAACATTTGTAAATTGGATTATTTTTAGAAACTCTATAATGCTATGTAAATGTTCTTTTTCTCAGTTATGGTAGTGATGGTGGTAGTGACAGTATGAAATCATGGGTACAGGATGGGGCAGCTTACCTAACTAAGAATTCTTTTAATTAGTCCTTTACATATTGTCAGTTTGTCCAATATAGCCCCTCCATGATGCATTTCCTAGAGACAGTGTTGATGGAGTAAATTATTTCAGATCTGAATCATTTACTGCTAAAATGCCTAACTGTTCAATCCTAGTTTCCTCCTGTCCTCTGATTGACCGATCATTATAACTCCTAACCAATCAAACAATGTCTGATATAAGAGAATGCAGTCCCTATTGGTGGGCTCATATACAACTGTAAGGGCAAAATAGTAGGTATGCAATTTCCTATTAGAGAGGTATGCAATTTCCTATTAGAGAGGTATGCAATTTCCTATTAGAGAGGTATGCAATTTCCTGGAGTTGTTTGATGACATATATGCCATCGTTAGATCCCTTACTAGAATGACGAACAAACTGGGTTGTGAAGAGTAGTAGTCTGTGATCAAATTTAAAGTAGGACTTGTATACTTTAACATTTATCACAAACTATCTAAACCAAGAGTCAATAAGCTTTTTTGTTATGATATCTAGGCTATGCCATGTGATGCAGTGTTTCCTGGGATATGCTCAAATGATATGTTACAGATAAAAAAGATAATTAGATATATATCTCAAAAATGTTAATGGGGACACATAAAGTGAAAAACAGCAAATTCTTGTGGTATAGGTGGAAAAGAAACAGTATTTACAATTATAATTAGTATGCCAGCTTTTCTTATTAGTACCAACTGACATGACTATTACACCACCAATTTACCATATAGCACAAAGCTTGAAAATGTTGATGATTAACTATAGATTTGCTGTTTACTTTCTAAAATTAATTTGAGCAAATTTTCACACTCAGTCTGTATTCTGTATTGAAATCTGTAAGAAAAGGTGTTGTATTGTATGCAAATTAGATAGACAAGTATAAATAGAGAACAACTGGTGAATCTAGTGAACAGCTATACCTAGCAAACCCAGTTGTTATTCAGGACATGGAGAACTGTACTATGACTATTACTATACAGAGAAATATGCAAAACATAACAAAAGGATTGTCAGTGGTCAGGAATGGAAGCAAGCATTACTGATAAAATAGGGTCATTATATATATATATATATATGCATTAACTATTGGTTTTACTATAGGAAATGCACTGCTGAGATTTTTTTTAGTTTGCATTTTAAATTCAAAAAATTTTTTAAATAAAACATTAAAACAAACTTAATGTTTATTTCAAATCTTCATATGGTTTACAGATTAATTACTCTGAGGAACCAAATGTCAAAGGAAATTCAAAAACTGATGGTGAATATTCGCACAAGTTTACGTGTATTCCGAGTTGAACTTGACCAAGCTCTGCAAACAGTGAGAGAATCCAATGCGTCCCTGGTTCAAAATTTCAGGTAAACCAGTATTAATCATTTTAGATTCAGTTTTTTGCTATTTTTTTTTTTTTTTTAATATTTTGTTACCTGTATCAGGAGATTGAAATTCAGTGTGACTTCACCAAGATAACCATCTCAATTGACAATGTCGCCATACCTCCCTAAAATCCTCCTTTTTAATTTGCTGAAAATAAAAAATTTCAAAATTCAAACATAATCTTACAAGGCTTGATTGATAAGTAAGGTTTCCTGCCAGGTAGTATTTTTAATAATGGTGGCAGAAACATGTTTGATATATATTTCGTAATGTACAAAGTCCTGTTCAAAAGCTTAGTGTGATGACATTGAGTTAGTATTCATTAGTCATGACTAATATGTCCAAGTTACCTATAAAGCAATAAACTGTGATAAAATCTTTCACACAAGCAAATTGTACATGAATCGAAATTCAAAGACATTTAAAAGTAATGAAACCTTAAAAAGACTCATGTTGCATCCATAAAATATAACCTAAAAGGAGAATATTTTTCTTACCACAATACAAGACCCAGCAAAAAAGGTTAAATGCTTGAAATTAATGGTTATTGTAGACCTTTTATAAAACATTGGTTTAGGATCATCAGATTTGTGGTTGTTCCTTAAATTAAAATTGGTTGTGCTTAAATTGATAGAAGTGTTGAAAAATCAACATTTCTCATCCAATACTGAAGTTGAAGTTGTAGAACAGGATCAAAAGTAACCTAGAAATCTAGAAGTTGTAGAACAGGATCAAAAGTAACCTAGAAATCTAGAAGTTGTCGGATGGGATCTAAAGTAATCTAGAAATCTAGAAGTTGTCTGACAGGATCTAAAGTAATCTAGAAATGTAGAAATGTAGTTGTACAACTGGATCAAAAGTAATCTTGAAATGTAGGTGATGTATGGCTGGATCAAAAGTAATCTAGACATGTTCTAGAGTAAAATGTAGACAAAAATTTAGTAGAAATTTCGTATGGTGAACGTATATTACTTCTGATTTAATATTTATTATAGTTGTAAATTATTCCAGATTTTTATTTTATTTTCTTAAATTATACTGGATTTTTTGGCAGGCATCAATGTGTTAATGTAATTTACTTATTATTTTATACAATTATTACAAATCTCTTGATGTATGAATTGTATGAACAAAGCATATTTTTTAATCTTTTGAAATACTGAAGTTGTTTCTCTGCTTTGACAATTTCAGGCTTTTTTCAGATGGTGGAAACTTTTGTCCTGAAGAAGTGTCCCAGTTTCAGGAAACAATTGAGGATTTATCTAAAATGATTGATGAAAATGAATGTCACATTCTTGTGGAGATGGAAGGAATGGAAGCAACCAGATTTGATCAAGCCAGTCGAATTACAATTGAATTTGAAGACAGGTAAAATAGTTGATTAGTTTGTTGTCATTCATGCAACTATCCAAGGACAACAAGTAAAGCTTGGGTATTGATTCTACGATCAGCTGATTTTGCACCTTTAAATTACATAATTTTATGAAACTTTGCAACCCTGCAAATGTCAAGATTTCCCCCATTTTTCAAACTTCTAACATGGATACAATTTTGTATTATATTTAAATCAAACTTCAACTTTAAGTCTTATGCTCCCATTCGTAGATGCAATGTAAGCCAATAACAATGAGTCATTTGAGCAGGATAATGCGCCCTGTCATCAAACCCAAATTAGCCAGAAGTTGGGTTTATGGTATATGAGTAAGAGGTCTGCTCCAGCACATGATCCAGTACCTACAAATATCAGGGAGCTGTAAACAGCTTTCGAGATAACATGGCTCAACATCTCTCCACAGGGCTTTTGATCACTTTTGGGATCAAGGACATGTGAAGTTGCTGCACCTTTCCTGTCTAGTGGGGGGGGGAGTAACAAGCTTGTGTAAATGAATGATAGAACAGGGAATGGGGGGATGGTTAAGGGATACACTATGCTCTAGAGCTACAAAGAATACGAAGTTGTGGAGAGCCATGATTGCCCATGTCTTAAAGGAAGAAGATTATCATGATTTGATTAGTATAATCTACACTGATTTTTTCAGATTAGAACTAAGGTGTGAAAAATATGATTTTCCCTTTCCCTAAATAAACATTATTGTTGTAAATGTCCAGAATGTTATAATCCATAAAAGGGTTGTAAGTTGTAAAACAATTCATCACCCACAAGACTGTGTAGATGCTTTGGGACTCTATCAAGACTGGAAAGTGAAAACTGGGCAGCTCCTGTCTATATATGGCAGAAGTATTCCATTTCTGGCCTGATCTGTCTCTTGTAAGGGTAGAGCATAGCAGGATGAGTCCGATACTTACTGGAGCAGTACAGGAACTGACCATTTTTCCAGCATCTTTAGCAAAGGATCATATGCATGAGTTCCACTTGAAGTCCAAGATGAGCTTAAGTACCAATAGGTGCTCAAGGCACAGGGCCTCCTTGAAAGAACACCCATTCATCATGATAAACAAAATTTCAGGGTTAATTCAATGAAGATGGAATGCTACTAGTTTGGTTTTTGAGGCATTGAATGTGTGGTCAGCCAGTTTTTTTACCCCACTGAGCTGTTATAGTTCAGTCAGAGGAGAGATTAACTGTCAGGCTTTGGCCATCTAAAATTTTTGAGGTGCACTCATAAAAAATGAATTGAGACCTTGGATTTCTTAAAAATTTAATCTTTACCTGTCTGTCAGCTCAAATTAATTTCCTTGTCATATTTGTTTTATAATACCATTTCAACCGAACATCCTGCAGCATTTCTTGATTGTCTGTTGTGTCCTAAAATGTTGAATCTTGCTCCAAGGTGGCATGTGCTTCCCCTTTCAGACATGACACATCTGGTACCTGCACTTGTATTTGGGATAAAAACAAAAAAACAACAATTTAGTTTAAGCTAACCTATATACATCTAACAGAAGCTTGCATCTCTTTCACCTGCCACTGGTATGTGTAGTAATAGCTAAATAGTTAGTGTTGGACAACGTTTTATGATGTTTTTTTTTGTTCAGTATTATGAAATAAGTAATATTTTAATAAACTAGTTTATTAAAATAGTATTTTAATTGTTATAAATTAAACAAAACTTATCAAATTTTAATTTATTAAAATATTTATTTCAATACTGTAAATCACATTTGATTTTTTTTATAAAGATATATTAAATAAATTAAAATATTGATGAAAATATTGCCTATTTAAATGAAAATATCGTGTTTCTTTTTCCTCCACAAAAGCCAAAGTTATGACACGTTTTTTACACTAAAATCTATGCCTGATGACTATTCTCCCATGACTATACTTTTTGGGGTTACAATTCGTCATCGTTGATTACCTGTGAATAAGTAATCAGATCCTTTATTCAATCCACATGCTTTGATGACATAGATTGTTCTCATTCCAGTTGCCTTACTTTAGGCTAATCTCATATGTCAGTCAATTTTCCCCTCAAGTTAACTGAGCCCTCCTGTTTCAGTGGAAGAGGGACAAGCAACATTATAAGTATAAAGGGAACCTAAAAGAAGATCTCCTCAAGAATGGATAATGAGAACATTCTGTCACTTTGAATTAAATAGAGAGGATTCAGTTTGAAACTTTTCTCTTTTTAATCGTTTTGCCCCAAGCAAGGTGGTAATGCAACTAGAATGCAGGTGGTTACAAGGAGTGACTGAGAATGAGAAGACTGAGAATGGGGAGGGTTGAGGAAAGAACAATTAAAGGAAAAAAGTTCAGGAAGATAGAAGATTACAATTGAAGGTTGTAGTTATCAGGTAGCGATGGAGATTGATAAGAAAGGACTAAGCATAAACTTACAAGATGACAGAATGCATGGTCGTCAGTAAGAAGATGAGCCCAAAATGTGATTTGAAGGTCGGGAACACTAGAATCAAGCAGACACGGAAGTTTAAATATCTGAGAAGCGTCTTGGCAGAGGACAGTAAGGGCAACACTGAGATCCATAGGTGTATTGGGATGGCCAAGGACACACTCCAAAAGCTGTGACAAAGAAAAGAATACTGAACTGTTACATGACATTTGTCCTTCTTTACAGCAACAAATGTTGGACGATTTCCTCAAAGATGAAGAAGAGACTCGAGGTGACAGAGATTTGGTTCTACAGAAGGATGCAAAGGATATCACGGACTGAGTGTGTGAGCAACGATGATGGCTTAGAGAGGTTGCAAAGAAAGAAGAGGTTTATACTTAATATCAGGAAGAGGCAGCTGAAGTTTCTTGGACACATAATGAGGAAGGAGGGTCTGGAGAATCTGATACTCACAGGTTGAATAGAGGAAAAGAGAAACAAGTGAAAATAATGCACCACATACCTGGTGGACTTAAGCAAGTGGATGACAGAACGTGGTCTGGGAGAGGAAGCAAAGGGAAGGAACTTGTTGAGAGCTGCAAGGGATAGAAGGAGGTGGAGAGCCATGATTACCTACGTCCTGAAAGGACATGGCACATAAAAAGAAAGAAAGTTATTAGGAAAGCAAGAAATTGGATGGGAGTTCCACAGAGAAAAAAAAAAACTGTTAAAGTAGAAGTGGTGGATGCATCTAGCTACTTCAACAGGTAAAAGGTGAAACATTGTTGCCATTCTAGTAGCACTCTTAAATTCATGCAGTTGGAGCACCAGGGATAAAAAGCTCATCAAAGCAGTTGCCATGAAAATGTTTGTAGAATAGGCAGAGGGAAGCCACACCATGTTGGTGGGAAAATGACAAGATGCCTGGTCAGGATCAATTACATTGCGGATCCTTCTCTGGATTTTGTCAAGAATCTTGAGATGTGCAGCTGAAACACCAGACCAGATATGGCAACATTATTCAATGCACGGACGAAGGGTAGATTTATAAATGTGCAAGATGGATTCTGACAAGAAAAATTTGAGGTCATGACAAAACGAACCAACTTTCCTTCTAGTAGATGTATAAATTGACTCAATATAGTCATTCCACTTCATATCAGTGGAAAATGTGTGGCCAAGAAGGCAAAGAGTGTTGTTCTCCTGAAGTTTAGCGTCAGTCATGTTGACAGCAGGTAGAAAAGCTTTCTGGAAGTTTACCAACGCATGAAGAAGATCGGAGAGTAGTAAGACCAAATATAACAAACTAGATGAGGATATTAGTCTGAGTAAGTCAATGTATAATAATGATAATTCTTCATCTTAAAACTTCAGACAAAATTATGATATACTAGTTTTAACCCATGAAAATTTCCCAGATTTCCTATTTTAATATTCTGATGAATCTTAATTCTTCTGTTAATGATTAAGTAAGCTCATGGTGAGCACTACAACAATGAAATATCCATAGAAATTCCTCTATCACATCATGAAATATTTGAGCTTAACAACTTTAATAAAATATTGCAATAACAATGCTGGTCATTATTTTAAGAAGTAAGTGGGTACAAATGAAAATATTTGAAATTGACAACTTTTTCTATTTCAATGCATTAAACACTTTGATCTTGACTTCTTTCTTTATCTTCTCACTGAAACTAAGTATTTCTGAAATGAGGTATTGTAACTATACTATTTACATTGTCCCACTAGGGTAGATTGTTCTAGTTCCATGTGCCATGCCTTTTCTCCAAATTTTTGTGAGTTCAATACCTGGCCACAGCAGAGGTGAACAAAAACTTGGAGAGTTGAGTTACTAAGGGGAAATAACTGAAACTGAGATATCCAGAAAAGGCATGGCATGTGGAACTAGAACAATCTACCCAGATGGACAAAATAAAGGGTTTGGTTCAAAATTCCAATGTAGATCACCTGAAGAAGGCTGGAATGTACAACAACAAAAATTTTGTGAATATGACAATAAAGATGAGGCCAACAGTCCAAACAATGTAAATAGTGTAAATAATTACAATACCTCAACTCAGAAATATAGACAGATGTTGAAAGCATAGTTCATTAAAATATTTTCAAATGAGCAAGGTTGAAGTTGATTAATTTATAAAATTAAGCAGAGTGACAGATGATTCATTTTATATCATAGAAATTGGATTATTTCGATATTATTTACAGATTTTAATAAATACATTGATTAAAAAAAATATTATAGAGCCTTTGTTAAATATGTTGCAGTGTGTGCATTGTGGTCTCCAAATGTTGCAGTAAGTGCATGTTGTAAACATGTCATGGTCAGCAAGTGTTGCAAGACACTACTTTTAGTTAGACTAAAAGCAGTGGCAATAATATTTTGCACATATAAATAACAGGTATAAAGAAATGGAAGACAATTTCAACAAGGCGATATTTTATATTTTGGTTTTTATATAACTGAGTAAAACGTGAGAGAAAATACACAAGTATGAATGTAAAAAGAAAAAAACAAGTTAAGAATTGTGTGTGTGTGTGTGAAAAGGTACAGTTACTAAGGGGAAAGGTATCCCCATGCTTGGTGAGATCCCAGTTGGCATTGTTACTCCAGTATGCTAAGAGGAAAAGAGAGAAAAAAAGAAAGAGAGGAAGTGTCCTGTTTTTATAACTGCACCTCTAATGATTTCTTGTTGGATGATAACCCATGAATCCAAGGCTGCCTAATTTGAGCTCGTTTAAAAAAATAAAAACCTGTAACATTAAATTTTTTTTTTTTTTTTTTTTTTGATAATACCGAAATTGTTGAAATTCCTTAATTTAAAACATGTCATATATTTTTACTTCCAGATTCAAGAACCATATCTTTGATCTTCTCTTCATGGAAACTATAGCACGATGGCTCACCAACACTCAGGTCCAGATTAAGACGCATGTGGCCAAAAACAACACTTCTTCGAAGGACCTGTCAAACTTCCTCTCCAAATTGAAACAAAACATAGAAACCTGTGAACAACCAAATCCTGATTTGAATGTATTTCAATTTTTATACTAATTCCATGGTTCCCAAGGGGAGGAGACAATCTTATTTTTAAGGGGGAAGCAATTCAAGAAAGAGCTAGTAACAGTGAATTTTTTTTTTCTAGTGTGTGTGTGGGGGGTTAATACATACAGTGCATATACAGTATGCATACATAAAAATATTTGTGTGCATGTATGTACATGTGTTATCATGAATGTACTGTATATAATATGTATATATATATATATATATATATATATATATATATATATATATATTAGTAACAATATTTTTTAAATATTGTAAAATTATAAAACGATGATACTATTGCAGTGGTGGGAAAACTTTTCAGAGCTTAGGCCGCATCAATGAGCCATGAAAGGCCAAAGGGCCGCTCCTTTTAAAATTGGGCAGTGCACTCTAAGATAATACATCATGGTTAATAAAAAACAAATTCATAATCCAGCACAAGCAATTTAATGGGAAAATGTTTCTGGTCACAATTCTGCTTTATAATTCTTTTAAAGTCTGGCACAAGGTTAGAAACTCTCATTACTATATTTAATTTTCTGTCTGACACCAGGGATCTGTTCTTAGATGTATTTGTCTTCATGCAGGAAAAACTCTGCTCACAGATGCAAGTGGAACAAAAGATAGAGAATAATCTGGCAATAAAATTTCTTCAACATGGAAAGCATTGAACAGAAAGTAACTTGTAAAACTCTACTAATGGTAGGAAGTGAAACATTTCCTTCAATGAATGATCAGATTGAATGTCTATCAATTCAATCTGTAATTCATCAGGTTCTGCATCAACATCAGCAGAGAAAAGAAAAGTTAATGTTGAATTTAAGTGCAATCTATCTGAAACCCACAAACCTTCTTTCAAATTCTTCTGTCAAATTTCTCAACTGATCCTTAATTTTTGAGCACACATTTGCAAACACTTTCTCCTTTCCCAACAATGAAAAATGGGTGAATTTACTCTTGTTTGCTTGCCTTGAAAACAAAGGTAATTTTGCTTGAAAAGATTTGACATGCTTATACATTTCCTGAGCCAAAAGTTCCTTTCCTTGCAATTTCAAATTTAGCTCATTCAGATTTTCAAAAACATCAGCTGCTAATATAAGTTCATATTTTCACTCATCACAGCTCATTTTTGCAACAAATTCACAAGCAATCTCTTTCATATAGAGAAAGAGCAGAATTTCTTTTCATAAGTCCCACACTTGCTTCAGAACTTTGCCAATACTGAGCCATTATACATTGTTGGGGTAGAGAATATCCCTATGCTCAGCCTCCATATCCTCCCATAGGGATTTGAATTGTGTGTGATTGAGTGCTCTTGCCCTGATGGTGTTTACTAAACTCATCACTAGCTCCAACACATGCTTCAGTTTAAGTACAGATTTACACAGATTTTCTTGGTACAAAATGCATTGGAAAGACAAAAAGGCTTGCTTAAAATTGTTTTTTCTAATCTTGTCTTCCAAAAGTTTAATTTTTCCCACATAATGCCCAGGCACTTATCTTTTGTTATGCTTGTCAATCTATCCCATAATAATGCACTTTTTTTTTTTCATTTGCATTGACCACACATTCATACAAATCCTGATTGTTGTATTTTTCATTGATTCTAGTGACAGAAATTCTTTAGTGATACGGAAATTCTCATCCACTCGACATACAAGAATTAGTAACTGTGCAGTATCTTGGATGTTGGTACTCTCATCTCATGCTAATGAATAACATACAAAATTTTTACTGGCATCCCTCAGCCATTGAGTCAAGTCCTCACTGATTATTTCTATGCATCACATAACAGTCCTCCTTGATAATAAAATGTTTTTGAATTTACCTTTCATTTCTGGGTATACAACAACTTGCCATCTGAGACTGGTTTATCACATCTTGAAATTGACTATACCACCATAAAACTTTTCTCCAATGCAATGTCATGAATCGATGATTGCTTCTTAAATAGAGTTTGTTGCTTGTTCACTTTTGCAACATATTCCACAGCCTTTTTCTTCCATTCTTCATCGGTCATGTTGCAACCAAAATCCCTGTATTTTGTTTGGTAGTACCACTTCAAATTGTTCCCCTTTAACACAGCAATCATTTCCTGGCACAGTAAACACATCACTTTATTCTTAGAATGGATGGAGAAATACTTGTGTATCCATTCTTTATTAAATGCACGACACTCATCCTCAATTTTATGTTTTTTAGAAGGCATTGTATGTAGAGTTGGAGAGATAGTGCTGTTGTGCAGACGACTATCAACAATAATTGCGCATGCATGCACAATATCATATGCATGTGCTGAAAGAATGTTACCAACCAAAAATGGGGTATAGATTTCTATGACATTGAAAAAGTTAGCGTCATGTTGACTTTCACAAAAATTTATTATCTTTTTTTTTTTTCTAATTTGCTGCAGGCTTCCACGGGCTGCACAAAACCCTGTAGAGAGCCACATGCAGCCCACAGGCTACAGTTTGCCCACCCCCACACTATTGCGTATATGCAGTCTCAAGTTCTTAAGGAAATCTAAGTTAATAGCCCTCCTCCTTGTGAATAGGAGTTCACGTTTTGAATAATAAGAATTATATGTCACAGTGGGGGAGGGGCATCAGTATTTTAGAGATGCCTAGGTGGGGCATGGCCAAAAAAAAGTTAGGAACTACTGGGCTAATTATTCCTAAACTCTTTCCATACATAAGTATATTAACGTCACTTGTAATGAATTTCAATGGTAACACAATTGGAAAGAATATCTTAGATTAAAGAGCATCAGAATGACGGCCATAAAGTGGATCTGTTTAATCTAAATTTAAAACTTTGTAAGTTTCTTTAAAAAAAAAAAAACTTCCACTAATATAGATTTAAAAATAATTCTTTCATTATCTGAGGATTGCTCTGAAAGTTAGGCCTTCCCATAATATGTATTTGCCTTGTTGCAAATAGCATTTTGGCAAAATGGAATCTGACATGAAAGTGTGTGTAAAGCAGATTTATATTATTGAATTCCTCCATGTGCCAAAAAAAATAGCCCCCACTGATATCCATCGATGTTCACTGAATGTTTGTGGAGAGTACCGTAATTTGTCAAGAATAATATGCACCCCAACAAATGATCCAAAAATTACGAAATATCACTCTGTATAATACTGTTCTATAAATTTTGTCAAAAAAACAAAAATATAATTATGAAGACATTTTGTCAACCTTGACATTAAGAATAAAATTGAAAAAAACTAAGCAGCTAAAATAATGTTGAAAATTACCATGTGGTTTACTCGATAAATATAACATTTTATTTTACCACCAAAATGTCATCAAAGCATGCAAGTTATAATGCAAATTTTAAACAAAACGTAATAGAATTAATAGAAAGAATATGAAACAGAGCTGCAGCCAGAGAATATGTGTTCAATGAGGCTAACATACTTTTATAGAGAAAGAATAAAAATGAACTAAAAAATGTAAATCAAGTGCCATAGGTAGAGAAAGAAAAGCTCAATATCCAGATATGGAACAAAGTTTAGTTGAATTTGTGAAAGAAAGGCAATCAAGTGGATGTTCCATAAGTTCTTCGAAATTGGCCTTTTTTATAGATTTTTTATTTTTTTGCCAAATTAAAAATGCAGTTACTGATAAACAACTTTATTGACAAAAAATGTTACAATTATTATTGTAGGATTTAAAATGAAAATTGAGATAATATCTTTCTTATTTTAGAAAAACAAGTACATATTTATTATTATAAATCAGCAACTAAAAAAAAGCATTTTTGTTTAAACCTATTTATAATATGCACCTCTACTGTCACTTGTAATTTACAGTAAATAGTGGATTGTAAGTTACATGTGACATTGTAGATCAAGAAACATCAAATTTCCACACAATTTCTGTGATACCCACTATCATGCCCTGTTCAAAATCTGGTAATTCACATCATATTGCAGTGAGCAGCATAGCCAGTGTTGACATTGATCCATCAAATGTCAGAGCGCACTTGATGTATGACTTTTGACACATCAGTTTAAATATAAATGTTACAAGATGAGATCTTGCCCTGCTTCGATAAACGGAAGTTACCATCACAAGTCCCCGACTCGAAATGAAAACTGCACGTCTATGCATAGGCTTGACGCAGATACTTCCGTTTGGGATAAACTCGAAAAAAAAAAATGAAAAAAATTAAATCAACCAATCGGTTCTCCCCCGTATTCAAAAATTGCCATCTGGAGCCGATAGGCGGTATAAGTTCAACACAGGAAAGTCAAAAGGGTGCCACTCAACGGCGGAGGCAGAAGGGTCACGTCACTCGCTCCTGACACACTGGCCCGGCGACAAAAACGAAGCATGTGACTGCTGCTGCTAATGAACTCTCGTCCGACGCCTTGTCAAAGGGTACCTTTCCTCAACTTCTTAAATACGAACTTTTTACTTGTTCTTATTTTCCTCACTAAAAAGAGACTATAAAATATATTTACAGTCTTTTCTTGTTCTTCGAGTCTGAATTTCATTGTTTGCAACCAAACGCAGTATTTCGCCCACATTGTTTTCACATCGGATAACGTGAATTAAATACGGAATATAACAAATATATTTATTATGAATTCAATTGTAAATTAAAAGATTTACTATTCAAATTCTTCTTCTTTTTATTATTTCATAGAAAGTTAGCTCTTCTGAGATTGCAAAAATGTTTGTGAATTCAATGGAAATGATAAACTCTCGAGCCAAATATCTGAAATGCCTGAAGACCAATGAAGAAGCTGTTATTTTAGGTAAGGAAATCATTTGAACAGCCACATATCTCTCCTGACTTTATTTACTATTGATAGTGAAAACTATTTTTGTGTTGGATTATGATGCAGAGCTCTGTGAACTCTTAATATTCAGTATCTGAAATGCCTAAAGGCTAATGAAGAATCTCACGCTTTAGGTAAGTTGATAATTTGAATAGCAACAAATCTGTCCTGACTTTGTTTATTACTGATAGTGAAAACTTTTGCATCTTAATGTGATGAGTATTGTCCTCACTGAGTGCTGCCCTATTGTTGCCATGTTCTAGAATAAGGAAACTTGAATTATTATTGACAATGTTTTTTGCTTCTTTCTAAATACAATTGACTATGCTGACTATTATAATGTACTGGTTAATAAAAATTATCTCTTGGTAAACTGTTATATTTCGTGCTAATAAGAATATATACTTGAACAACACGGTAGATAAATAAATAAAGGTTTATTGTAAAACCAGTACAATAAGAAATAAGGTAACAGTTATGCACACGATTGTCGCAAGTCAATCCGGTAGTGAGTGCTACTATTGGAAGGCAGGTAGTTCTCAAGTAAGTCTGAGTCGTACTCAACAGATCCCAGCTAGACTCCTGCAGTCCATTGCCTTACGGATACTTATAGGTAGTTACTACCGGCATGGTGTCAGGTTATTCCATTACATCATAAACAATTATTACTACTATTATCATCAGTTTTTATACTCCTATTTACTTTCAGTTTCAATTTTTAGTTGCTTTTTATTGCAGCCTTTCTTGGACCATCAATTCTACATCAATATGTAGACAGCACAGGTTCAAAAATAAACAATAAGCCTTCAATGAGATCCAAACCATTTTAACTCTAGGAATCCTGGTGATTGGTGTGCAATTTTATCCAATAAGCCTTGACAATTTGATGTAGAGTATTTTTTTATTTTTAATGCAATGTCCCTTCAGGACATGGACAATCATGTCTGTCCACAGATCCCTTTTCTTTATTATCTGTGAAATGCCATGACTTTCTGGGAAAATGGTTTCCCATTGACTTCTTTACAGTTTGGGAATTCAGAGTATTCCTTTTAGAAAAAAAAAATTTTGTTCTTGCAATTTCTAAAGAAAATGGTTTGCATTTCTGTTCCATATGAAATAGTTATGTTTTATATTCTTTTATTAAAAGTGCCCTGCCAAACGGCGTTGGTTTCTGAAATACCATCAGTATCTAAACCTGGCAAGACGATGTTAGAAGACAGTTCAGTTGTAATGATTAAATCCATTCTGAGGTGAGTCTCTGATTAAGATATCTTAATTTAAATATTCAAAGACAAAAAAATTAATTTCCTTTCTGTGGATGCAATTTAATCTCATTGATCCAATACCTTTTACTTTGCTGATGGTAAGATGATCAAATTTCAGATCTAAATACAGAAGGACTTATAAAAATGACTTCAAAAGGTGAGTTTACACTTTCAACAACAACACCCCACACCCCACCCCCGTTATCCAGAGGTTGTTGCCACACAGAAAAAGGAATTGATACATCTGTCCATCTCAAGTTCATTGAAATTGTGTGTTTATGTATATCAATGACAGGCCTGAAAATATTTTTACAAAATTTTAAAACCAATTTATTATCAAAAAATTTCATAAAAGTTCCATAAAATCTTATAAGCTGATTTTTATGGTTTCAAATTAATCTCCTTGATCCAAAACCTGTTGCTTTGATGATGGCAAAATGATCAAATTTTAGATCTAAATTGTCTCTCCATTTAATATACACATTTATTAGAAAATATATTCAGTTTATATACAGTCATAAAATTGCCACACATTTCAGCTTATACTGTTTTCCTGTTACCCAGGAGTTGTTGCCAGACACAAAAAAGTTAGCCCTCACAACACAGTTGTCCATTTCAGTTCCATTAAAACTGTTAATTTATGTATATTTGCATGTGTGTATGTATATTTTAATTCAATGACAAAGCTAAAAATATTTCTATAATTTTTTATTAATTTTAAAATTTTCTAATTTATCACTAAATAATTTCCAAAAAGTTAAATAAAATCATATAATTATCTGATATTTTTTTTAAATTAATTTTTTTTTGTTTTTTGTCTTTTCTCCAATTTCATGGTTTTATTACTCAGTTCAGGTTAGGAGTTGCCTAGACCAAATGGGAGGGAAGATATTGTTTCAATGTCTTATTTCAAACTCAGTCAAATTATGTGCATGTATGTGCATATTAAATGGCATAAGCATATATATGTCACTCACACACGTATTACGTAGATGCCTGCAAAGTCATACAGATGATCTGCTTTTTCTTATAATATAGATTTCATTTATATTTTTCTTTCGCTTATAATGTTTACATTTCAGCCTTTTCCTTTTCTTCCTTGTAGAAACAATTTGAAATGATCATATTCGTTTTTGGTATTCTCTTTAAATAACAAATGATAAAATGTTTTAACACATCAGCTTGTAAAAAGTAAATAATAAAAAAAATTTAAAAATGGTTTCTGCTTTCACATTTTAGGAGCCAGAAGATTCCAGAAACTGTGGAGGAAACACCAGAGTCATCTACTGGTAACTGTAAAAAAAAAAAATACCTTCTGTCAGTTTTTTTAGGAATTCAAGATTATTTGGGGGTGCAGGGGTGCTTTTTGGATCTCATATGATTTCAGCTTTTACCACAACAATGAAAACCAGAAGTATTTTCTTTTTTTTTTGCAGTACAGTATTACTAAATAATTCAAATTACTTGCAAAATGTTGCATTCTATTAATCTTTGAATTAAGGAATTATCACTATTTATATTCTGACTATTGTTTTCATCTCAATGTTTCAGTCATTGTGCCTTCCAGGCTTCTTCAGGTGTCTTCAAATGAGGATGATAGTCCAAATGTATATAATGATAACTCCTTATCTCAAAAATTCAGACAGAAAATAACGGAACAGTAATAAAAAGACAAGACTTAACAATTTACCTATGTAGATTAAATAAAGCATTCTATTCAAAATTCCTTAAACATTGCCTGGGCCAACAGACACCTGAAGAAGGTTAGAAAGTAAAACAGCTAAAACGTTGTAATAGTGATGAGGATATTAGTCCAAATGTAAATAAAGATAACAACTCATCCCAGTTGATATGCGACAAAACAAACCAAACCAAACATACCACAGCATTCCTTACACCAAAACAACACATTCTTACATACCATTCTTACTACAACCACCAAAGTCTATAGAAAGTTTTAACTAGTTCCCATGTGAACAATTTTCCGGGGGTGAGGTGTTGATAACAACATTTAAAAATGAAAACCCTAATGAATATTTACAATAGAGGAAAGTTCATCAGATCAATTACCACAAAAATATTTATAGAAAAGGCACAAGGAAACTAAATTATGGTGGTGGGGATGTAACTGAAGACAAGATGCCAGGTCAGGATTAATAACATTGCAGATTCTTCTTTGGATTTTATCAAGAACTTTGAAATACATTGCAGAAGCACCAAACCACATGTGGCAGCAGTATTCAAAGCCAGGAAAAATGGTAGACTTATAAATGTGTAAGATAGAGTCTGGCTAGAAGAATTGTCTGTCAGGACACAGTGAACCAACTTTCCTAGCAGTAGAACGAGCAATTGATTCAATATAATATTTCCACTTCATATCAGCAGAAAACATTAACCCAAGAAAGCACAATCAGTCACTCACCTGGAGGTTATCAGCAGCCATTCTGATGGGAGACAAAAAAAATTCTCTCAGAAGATTAAAAGATTAAATCTCCCATATTAGTTAATTACTAGCAGCATGGCCTGGCGTTGCCCGTACTTGATTCTAAAATCATATGACTCATACAGCAATCGCTATCACTTGAGTTAAAATATTTTTGCCCTTCCTTGCCTTTAAAGGAGTGCCCTTTGCCGTGCTGATGATGTTACATGCCTTACTTCTTGCCTATCTCACACTGCGAATTTTTTCTAAGCTCTATATTAAACATTAAATCTGTTACGAAAAAAGAACTAAACAAAATGAACACAAAACGATCAGCTTTAAAAAAGGACTCGTAACTGGAAAAACCAAATGAAAAAAGAATGTTAACAACAAATACTTTTTCACACCCAACCCAGTTCTGCAGAATCAGAATCAACATTGAGTTTAAGCAAGCGAATGAGCCAATTGGAGTAAAAGTGCCATGCAGATTTAAATTTTTCCACTTGTGACGAATGCAGCTATCGATTTTTTTTGCATGCTAGTTAACATTCGTGTCAGTCAGCTGTTGGCTCTCACACTGGCCAATAGAATCTTCCTGCCTATTTGTGGCAGCCAGCTATTGGCTCTCACTCTGGCCAGTACAAAATGGCCACAAACTACATGAAACCTGCCGTAGAAGCATGAAAAAATTGATTATTTCCACTATCGATGGGAGTTGGGAAATGCAAAGTCAGTCTTGGCCTTCCCGCTAACTTAGAGCATGTGCATGTAAATTTTGGTACAAATCCATCCAAAATTGCGGCCGTGCATTCGTTACACACACACACACACATCCTGCCTTTTATAGATAGAGATTCTTTGATTTTTGTCTTTATGATGCCAATTTTGTTTGTTCAACTGGATTCACTTGTCTGATTCTTGAATTGGACTGCAACACTTAACCAACACATATATCCACTTGACTATTGTAGAACCATTTTATTAGTTGGAAATATTCACATTTAAATATTTTTTAGCTGCAAAAAAGAAAAGTTTTTTTAAAATAACTTTTTCCTGAAAGAATGATGAGTTTTCTTTGTAGGTTACTGGTTATTATTTTGATTACTTTTCTTTCTTTTTTTTTTTTTTTTTTCAGAAGAAGAGAGCTCTCCAACTTCAAACCAGGAAAATAGCAACGACACAAGTCCCAATATAAAAACTGGTAAAACCAAAGTAAAAAGCTCCGTGCTTAAATCTGTGAGTCGTATCTACAAACGTCATCTTATGTAAGAAAAAAAAATTTTTTCTTTATTCAAACATTCTGGCAAAGCAACTAGACTTTTTTTTGTTATGGTATCAAGGCAAAGCAAGGATTAATTTGTAAGAAGTTTTTATATACAAGAGCAAAAATGTTATTGGATTTTAAAAATGTTTAAATTTGACAATGCTCATAAATATTCATCAGCTTAGCCAAAAAGTCTAAGCAAGTTATGGAAGGTGCCAAGTGACACAATTCAATTTCTAGATTTATGAGCATTCTTAAATTTAAAAATTTTGAAAAACCAATAACATTTTTGCTCTTGTATATAAATACTAGTTACAAAATAATCCTTGCTTTACCTTGACAAAGTCCCTTAGAGGATGAAATGCATCAGCTAAGATAAATTTTCCTTTTGTTTTTGTTCACACACACACACACACACACATATATATATATATATATATATATATATATATATATATAATACCAATTGGTATGGATAATGCCAAGGAGGACATTAATCCAAAGAGAGCCCAATGTAAGTAACAGAGCAATATAATAATAATAAGTAAAGACAATCCTTAAAAATCCATTTTAGTTATTATTTATTTCATAGGAAAAAAAAAGGAAAAATGTTTATAATATTTTTTTCTCTCTTCTCTAAATTTTTTTTAAAATTTTATATTTAGAAAAATTTTTCCTTTTTCTTTCTTTTTTCCTCTTGTTTCCCTTTTGTCTGGACAAATTGATTTCATTTCTAAAAAAACCTTTGGTCTGAAGAGATGAATGTTTAAATATATTCATGAAATAAATTAAAACTGAAATGAATTTTTAAGGATTGTCTTTTCTTCTTCTTCTATATATATATATATATATATATATATATATATAATGTGTGTGTGTATTATGTCTATTTAGTTTTATTTTAATTATCTTGAATTCTTTGATCGACTTCTTAATGTCGATATTAAATTTATTAAGGAAGGTGCCGTGGTTTTTTCTTTTCATTTATTTTCTCATGGGTGAATTGCTAAGACAAAAAATTAATGTAATTGATAGCTATGATTTTTTGTAAATACACATGAAAAGTGCTTTCTTATAATTATTTTAAACATGCAAGAACCTGCTCTGTTATAATTCATTTAAAAATTAACTGTTAAAGCAGTTTTTTTGTTTGTTTTGATCTAAGGGAGGTAACTTTAATTTATATGATTATAATTTTAAAAACATTGCTATTATAGACATTTTAAAACATTGTTTCTATACTCATAACTAACCTTATTTAGCATTGCCTGTATGTTACTTATATAGAGGGCCTTGAGAATTCGAAGTCTTTGTTTATCATTTTCATGGCGAAGTATACTTGTCAATATTTTTCTGAATTGTGAATGTGGACAGGAATGTGTCTTTATAGCAATAGAGCTTGTATCTGCCATATCTAGTGTAAGTCTCCTTGATAATGTTGTCTTGAAACCAACATATATAATTACTTTTTTGTCAGAGATACAATCTCCCAAAGGACATTTAAAATGATATACAATGTTAGTCTTTTACAAAACACTAGTTGTTGAAGAAGAGTTACTGCAAAAGTTGGTTGTATTAAAATATATAATTAGTTTTATTTTTTTACTGGGATCAGTGGGAAATAAATTAGTGCTTATGAGTTTTTTTTAGGATGTTTTCACCTTGTTTGCAGTTAGAATGTATTTGATTGAGATAAAGTAGATTGTTATCTTTAAGGTTATTTCAGGAAATATTATGTTTTTTTTTTTATTTATGTTAATATTTCCAACAGCTCGTTCATCTAATTTGTTCATCAACAATGAAATTAGGAAAGTTGTTATTAATGAGAGTTTGCTTAATGTTTTTTTAATTCAGTGTAGAAAATTTTTCTGTGGAAGAGTTAACTTTTGCAGTTTATTAAATTTTGTATAATAGCTATTTTGTAATTGTTAGGACATTCACTTTTATAGTTGAGAGTGCACGTGTTTATGCTAATTAGTTTTTTTATATGGGGAGGTAGTAAATATATTATTATTGGTGTCTATCAATACATCAAGAAAAGGAATTTTATTGTTAAGTTCATATGTGAATTTAAGAATTTAAGAAGTTACTAAACCCATGGAAACTTCATCATGTTGTCTTAGCAATTCAACCCTGAAGATGATCTTGCATGAAAATAAAAGAAAAAAATTACAGCATCTTTCTTAATGAATCTAATATCAACATTAAGAAGTAAATTTGAGGATTAGAGAGGATTAAAATAAAAATAAATAGATATAATATGTCAAGATTATTCAACATGCTTGAATGAAGATATGCTGCCTATCTATCTATCTATATATATATATATCTATATATATATATATTTATATATATATATATATATATGTTAGTTGGGTGTAGAATAGTAACCAAACAAAAGTGGAGAAATAAGGCAAAGTGGAAACACTTTTTTTTTAATGACAATGCTTCTGTGTAATAGGTTGGTGCCTTCAGGTCAGAATGAAAGACACAACTCAGTGTGTTTTCTTGTATTAAAGCTGTTAATGTCTGTTTGCTAGGTTGGTGATGTTCATGCTGTTGTAAACATGTATACAGAGGAGAGGTGGAGGCTAAAATTTTTAAATTTTAAATTTAAAGGTTCATTTTTCTAATATATAAAAATTTATATATCATTTTCTTATATATAAGTCTGTTTATTGACTTTTCATTATGTATCTATCTCCATCTGTTCATTATATATCTATCTATATCAGTATGTTCATTATCTATCTTATGATCAGACTAGTTTACCCATCCTGTCAAAAATAATTGCCTAAATAATTTTCTTAAGCAACTACCATTGTTAGAAGATTTTCCGCATTTTAATCTGAATATGTTTCTTTATCACTTCACCATCTGAAGCTGTATACCCTGATCGACTTCTTTCAACCCCCTGCCCATGCTTTTCAAAATTTCATAGAGACGGTCATTTCTTCACATTATTCATTTTGAAAAGTCCATCATTGTCACTTGGTGCAAGGGAAATAGAACTCGTTATTTTCTCTCTAAACATTCCAGTTATTTCCCTTGTAGCAATGACATCAACAACTACAGACATTAGAGACAAAAATATTCAAATACACTTGACATATTAAAATACAAAATATACATATATAATGTACTAGTTGAGCTACCTGTCTAGACTAGGTTCAAGTCTATTTTTAATGACAGTAAAACAATACCTTAGTACTGATGGGTATTTGCTTTGTTTAAAAGAAAAACAAAATTGATTTCAAGTTAAATTTACAATGAAAAGTAGAAAAAATATTTTATGAGAAAAATAACCTTGTGAAATTGATTTGTGAAATCATTTTCTTTCCAAAATTAATAAAATAGAAATTGTAGTCTTACACTGCTTGCAAATGGTAATTGTTATTGTTAAAGATAAATTCTGGTAACAGAAAAGCAGTTGACACCTACTTTAACCCAGTAGAATAGACAATTTTTATGTTAAAAAAAATCTTCCCCTGTGTCTAATAAGTATGAATAAAAAATTGGAGGATTGTACATGAATTTTTTTAGCCATATATAGTGAACAGAAAGACAAATTCTTTCCAATTTTATATATATATATATATATATATATATATATATATATATATATGTGTGTGTGTGTGTGTTGTATTCTTAAAGAAGGTTACAAACAGACAAAGGTGTTACTCGAGTGAAAGGAACAGCAACATGGGTGTAGATGAAAGAAGAGAGGTTTATTGTAAAATAGAATACACTACTGAAAGACAGAGAATCAGTTAGCAGGCTATTAATTCCCAAAACAAGTCTGCCAGGTATATCCTGTACTTGCTATATATATCTAATGATATAGTCAGTCCACGTATGCAATAAAGGAGTGTGGGATATTTCATTAGAACAATAAGTTTCATTAAAAGTGAGCTGACAAGGTACTGTGGTTAAGTTTTTTGTATTTTAACAAATTGTCCAAATATTCTGTATGTCCAAGCGCTTTCAGCTATACTTTTAGGCATTATGAAAGTTGACAAAATATTATCTACTATAAAAAATTTTAAACTGCTAAGCTCATCGTCAACAACAATAATTCACCTGCCAGATCCAAATTACAGAGAACCAATATTATTTACAACTTTCCATATCCCTTAAGGAACTGTGTTCCTGATCCAACCAAATTCATAATTATATTGGATATACTACAACATGCCTAACAAGAAGACTCACATTACATCTCTCTGACCATAGCTCAATTAAGTTTCATTTAAATACACATGGAGACCTACCAAACTCAATCCACCATACACTCGTTGATAATACAAATATAATAGCCTCATCCACATGTAAAAAAATAGCTGAAAATAATGGAAGCATATATAAAAAATAAAAAGCCAACACTCAATAACATCAACTAAGAACACGGCCACAATGTGCTGGCCGTGACTGGAAAGTAAAACATTCCTATAACTCTAGATACATTCATTAAACAATCCATACATTCAGCTAATGGTAAAAATAAAATCATCCTTGATAATGGCTAAAAGTGTAGCCAAAAGGACTCGGACATACACAACATTCAGACAATTTTTACATAATTTGTGTTCAGAAAAGAAGAAAATTATAAGAACACAAGAAAAATTTAAGTAAGAAATCTAACTTCAGTACCTTGTCAGTTGTTTTAATAAAACATGTATAAAAGAGGGATTACTGCCTAAATATATATATATATATATATATATATTTTTCCTCACTGGCATGATACAATCATAAGGTGGTGATTGAAAATTGAAAAATATATATATTTTAAAAGTTTCAAATTTCAATGTTCCCTTTTCCTTCATGTGAATATATAGTCACATCAACATAAACATCACTTCAGTTTGATGAAGTCCTAAAATATGAAAAAAGCCATACAAAATTTTTTTCCAATTTGTCATATATATATATATATATGTATATATTAAAGACATTTTTATCTTTAACATTCTTTTTATAGATACAAGTATTTAAGTAAATGCTCTGTTTATAATAAACAGTATTAAATAACATTTCATAGAAAATATTCGTCCTATGAAAATTTCTTGGACATTCAGGCCGGTAAATGTTATTTAATACTGTTTATTATAAACAGAGCATTTACTTAAATACTTGTATCTATAAAAAGAACGTTAAACATAAAAATGTCTTTAATAAATTGTCAGACTTTGTCCAATTCTTAATATGTGTGTGTGTGTAAGACAATGTAGAAAAAGTTACTGAGAATTTTAAATTTAAATTCTTTTTATATATATATAATCCAGCTGATTTCATTTAGATTCTTTTCCTTTTTGTTTCCATCACTTTTATTATTAGATAGTCTCCTCCCACACTGTGATAATAGAAGAGATGCTAAGAATGGTTTGGGCATTTACAACATTTCATCACTCCTGGCTGAAATTTTATTATCACAGTATGAGGTAACCTAATAACAAAAGTGATTGAAACAAAAAGAATCTAAATGAAATTGGCTAGATTATACGTATGTAAAAAAATAAATTTTTAAAATTCCCAGCATTCCTTGTTTGTACACATGCGTAGATGCACCAACAACAACAAATTTAGTCAGATAAAGTCCTAAAGGACCAGATATGTCATACAAAAATTTTTTTCCACTTTGTCATACATTTTCCCCTAATATTGTTTTTGATTATATAAAAATTTATATATTGTTATCATATACATATAAATATAGATAACTAGACTCCTTTCGAAAAACCCTCGAATTTTTGATTTGCTAATCAAATCAATCTCGAGGGGAAAAAAACTTTCCAAACTTTCCCTGACGATCCGTTTAGGTGAAACCTAGGTAGGTTTGTCTGGCTCACTAGGTGTATCTATTGTTATCATATATATATATATATATATATATATTATTATAAAAATGTTCACAATACTTATCTATGACCGGCTAAAAGTATCATAATATTATCAATTGTCAGGGTCAAACTAGAATATTGTATTGTTGACTGAATATATATTTTTTATAAATGTTTATGAAATATGTCCACTAAATTTTCAAATTAAAAATTTTCTATACCGACAATTGTTAATCCAATAACAATGTTACAATAACAGATGGGTTAAATATTTAATTTTCTTATAAGGAATTTATGTCTAAACATTTCCAAATTGTTTGTACCATACATATATATATATATATATATATATATGTATATTAAACAAGGACCTGATACCAGAGAAATACAGTTTTAAAAATACACGAAGGTATTTTTTATTATGTTCTTTTCTTTGTTCTCATCAAAAAGTTATGCCAACATTTTCCTTCTGATGAAGTGTTGGCTAAAAAGATTCCTTAAGATGAAAATGCTTTAATGTATTTAATAAATATATATATATATATATATATATATATATATATATATATATATATATAACTCGTTCATTGTTAGTAATGTATTATCATAGAAAATAGAATAAATATTCAAGTGTTACTCCTTATTTATTTAATTAAATAAATATTTATTTAAATGTTTAAATCATTGTTGATTTCTATGTTCACACTTTTTCCAATATTGAACAGTCATCCTCCATAAATGCAGCAAATATTAAACCAGAAATTGATAATCTCAAAACCACATTTGAAAAAAAAAATCTATCCTTAACTTTACCTATGAAATTAGTCAAAAACATAAACTACCATTCTTAGATGTTCTCATAGAATTCAGTAATATTATATTCACCACTTCATTATACAAAAAAGCCACTAGCAGAAACTCTTGTCACCTTAATTTTAAGAATGAATGTCCAATTACATATAAAATAGCAGTTATAAAAAATTTCTTAGAGAGCACACAAGAATTCATCCTTTCATCTCCTTTTCCTTAAAGAACTCAATAGTGTAAAACAGATTCTAGTTAACAATGGTTTTCCTAGTAACCTCATCAATCACCAGATTAGACTACTTTCTAAAGTAACTAATAGCAATACAGATAAAAATAATATTAACATCTTCTATAAAAGCCAAATACATGTTAACTATAAGCAAAACAAATTTTCTCCTCGAAATATCAAGAAATACTCCAGTCAACCAGAACAAGAAAATTATCTATTTCATCAAAAAAACAAGACACCCACAAAATCAAAATTAGAGAACCAGCATCATTTATGAGTTCAAATGCCACTTAAGGAATTGTGTTCCTGATCAAACTAAACTCATAAATAATTACATTGACCACACTACTACATGCCTATTTAGATGACTCACTTTACCAACCATAGCTTAATTAGGGCTCATTTTAAGACATGCAAAAACCTATCAAACTCCATCTGAAACATACTAGTAGAAAATACAAGTATAATAGCTTCATCCACGTTTAAAAATAGATTAACAATAATGGAAGCCCTAATAATAAAAAAGGAAAAGCCAACATTCAATAACATTAACTATAAAAATAGCCGCAATCAATGACCATATTTGGAAAATAAAACATTCCTATAACTTCAGACACATACATAAAAAACCCACATATTCTGTTAAAAAATAAAAATTGCCCTTGATAATGGGTAAAAGAATAGCTGAAAGTGCTCAGAAATGCAGAACATTTGGATATTTTTACAAACTTTGTGTCCAGAAATGAAAACACTTGTACGAACACAAGAAAAATGAAATAAAAAGCTTAATTGCATTCTCTTGCCACCAGTTATCTTTAACAAAACTTGTATAAAAGAAAGATATATTCTGTTTATACATTATTTTTAATAGATACAATTTTAAGTAAATGTTCTGTTTTTTAATTAAACAGTATTAATATCATTTACCAGCCTGAATGTTTGAGAAATTTCATAGCATTCCATTCTCTATAGCATGTCAGATCAAATGACAGTTCTGTTCTATGAAATTTCTCGAACATTCAGGCTGGTAGATGTAATTAATACTGTCTAATTAAAAAACAGAGCATTTATTTAAATAAAATTGTATCTATTAAAAATAACATATAAACAGAAAATATATTAAATAATTGTTGGGATTAATCCATTTCATTGTATGTTGTCATTTTTTATGTTAAGATATGTTTCGTGAGCAGATATGATCATTTGGGAAAGATCATCGAAGATTTGTTGTTTAAAAATATTAATTTGAACTTTGCTAACCAGATGCTTCTCTATAGCCAAGTGGCATAGCACGTCAGATCAAATGACAGTTCTGTATAGGACACAGGTTCGATTCTTGTTGGTACATGTCATGAATATTGCAAAAAGATTAGGACAACAGTCCAAATTACTGTAAATAGTGTATATATATATATAAGTTATTGCAGTGACTTTTTCTTTTTGTTTGCAATTTTGGCAGAGTGAACCATTCTACAAAGACAGTGAAGCTGAAATTGAATTTTGGTGAAGGGGAAGAGAAAGATTTGGAAGAACAAGAAATTGAAGAAGAACCTTCTGATTTCCTTGGAGTTATCAAACAGTTGGTGCAGAATACATTTGTTAGCATTGGCGCTATTGCAGAGGTGAGTAGGTTGCAAGGATGCACACAGACCTTCACATCTTCTATCTGAAATACTTACTCTGATATATTGTTCAGTTTTCAGGGTTGTGTTTTAATTCATGTAAATATACTAAAACCCAAGATCAGACAAAGATTTTCTTTTCTTTGCAATCATGGCTCTCCACAAAATGTTTGAAAAATGTTTGCATGATTTGTTTTCTCCTGATTTCACCTCCAGATAATCAAAGTTTCGAAAATTGAGGAAGTACTGTACAATTAGTTCTGTTAGTAGGATAACAAATAAGCAGATTCCAAAATTACATATTGAATCTACGGACTGTCAAGGATTATTCAGACCTTCCAAAGTTTACACAAAAAATATTGTGCTTTGGGAACTTCTATAGTAAACATAATTTTGGTTGTAAATATGTAACATTTATGAGGATAATATACAGACAAAGATGAGGACAATAGTCCGAATAATGTAAATAATGTACATTCCTTCTTGTCAATTTTGACAGCACAGATACACTAGTAATAAAATAATGAATTACTCTCTGTATTTTATATATGAAGTTGATGTTTCCCAGTGCTCACTAGTGTAGACTATAATTTTTGCCAAATTTGACTCCATATTATTATTTATTCAAATGACTATTATTACTGCTACTGTAACAAAGTCCTCGCAATGTTCTGTTTTATTACTGAAATCATGTGCAATATTTTCCCTATTAAACAGTAATGTTTTCTGCTGCAGTTGAAGTAATTTTTGTAATGTTCTGATAGCTTGCTTTTTATATACAGTAATTTTTTCTGCTACAGCTGATTTCCTTTATTTTCTTGATGTTCTGGTAGCTTGCTTCTTATATACAGTAATCATCATCATCATCAACCTTCGAGCTCCCTTTGGTTAGTCAGAACTCCATTAACTATCCCTTTCCACACTGTTTGGTTCTGTATCGCCCACATTGCTTGGTCCTACATTGCCGTCCCCAGATCCCCAATGTCCAACCCTGAGTCCTAAGCCATGGTGTCTGGGGAAAGTCAACTGTCATGAAAAGACACCTCCAGGAGGATGTCATAGAAGTAAGGATGAGATGATCTCCCCATCCACTCAGTAGTAGTGGTCAGCAAATTGCTTTATATGTAGTAATGCTACAGCTAAAGTCATTTTTATAATGTTCTGATAGCTTGCTTTTTATATATGTACTTTCTGCTGCAGCTGAAGTCCTTTTTGTGATATTTTTAATGTACTGATAGCTTGCTTTAAACATTACATGCATAACAAACATTTTCCTCAAGAGTCTCTCCTGGTGGTTTGGTGAAATCATGTTTGATATGTTTGTGTATCTTTTATGCCATCAAATATGGTACTTTCTTTTCTTTAGGATTATTACCGACAGAAAGGATCACGACCAATAACAAGGCCACAGGCATTGCAGGACACATATGAGAATTGTGCAGTGTTGCTGGGTGACAAATTAGTATCTTATTATAACCAAGCGAAGGAATATCTTCAACGGTGTCATACAGGTGAGAGAACCAGTTTCTGTTGAAATTCAAAATCTTTTTGACCAATCTGTTGTTTGTTGATCTATTGTCAGCAAACACAAATGCTGCAGGAATATTGTCTCTACTGGGGTTACATGAAACAATCAAAGTGCATTTAACAGGGTTAATTGTACATTATTTCACAGAGAAAATGTTGAGAGAGCCTTTCATTTGCTTACAAGATTTAACCAGATTGTATATATAATGCTAAAAACAAAGGGGCAACTCATCCACCTCCTCTGTGTAGCAGATTCTTTATACAATGTTGAAAAGCTTCATTCATGCAAAAGTAACTCTATATATATTTTTGTTTAATCATTTCACCCCAAGCAAGGCAACAATGCTACTAGAACACAGGGGGTTACAGGGAGTGAATAAGAACATTGAAAATGGGGAGGATTGAGGAAACAGCAAAAAGGAACAGGCTTCAAGAAGACAAAAGACGGCGATTGCTGTTGCATTTAAATTGTAGTTATCAGGGAAGGAAGAAATGAGAAGGGAATTCCACAGGTGGGAAGTACAAGAAAAGAAACTGTTGAAGTAGAAGTGGCAGATGCATTCAGCAATTTCAACAGTAAAATGGTGAGACCTAGTTGCCAATCTAGTAGCAAACTTCAATTCATGTAGTCAGGGCACCAAGAAAAAAGTTTGTTCGAGCTAATTATAATGAAGATATTTATAGAACAAGCAAAAGGAAGCCACATCTCATTGGTGAGAAAGTGAATGGAAACGAGATGCCTAGTCAGGATTGATTGTATTGCAGATGCTGGATTTTGTCAAGAATCTTGAGATGTACAGTAGAAGCACCAGACCAGATATGGCCACAGTATTCAATGCACAGATCAGTGGTAGATTTGTAAATGTACAAGATGGATTCTTATGATAAAATTCATTTGGCATGACAGTTAACCAACCTTCCTTGCAGCAGACACAGCAATTAACTCGATATAGTCACTCCACTTCATGTCACATTTACACACTTTTTATACAATTTTGTTCTGCAAGTCAATGTTTTCTCAAATTAATATTAACCAAATGTCAAAATCTGAAAACAGTCAGTGACTATGTTGGGTTAGCAATGTCGTCCACCTGCCTTAGAACCAACTCCCATGACGTGCTTTCTTTGGAGTCCAGTAAAAGGGCTGTCAATGACCAAATTTTCAGATATCAGCTGTGGTTTGGGATGGGCTCTGCGAGGTCTACTTACCAAAGATAGACTACACATGAATGAATACCTCTCTGACTTTCATATCAGATATTTGGAGGGAATTGGTCAGGTGTTTTTTTTTAATCCATCTTTAAAGGTTTCCAAATTCTCTGTATTTATATGTTTGTTGCATTCTCAGAGTGTTATCACTATAAATTCTGTAATGCAAGAAAACATTTGACATTTATGTTGCATTAAAGATATAATAAAATCCTTTCTAATTTCTTTTAGAGTTTCAATGTCAATTGGAGGAATTGGAAAACTTGGCAAAGCGTATTCCCCTTTGCTGTTTCGTTCTCTTCTTGAACAACACATGTACAATCTGGATGAAGAATTTTCTAAGTGGGAGAACGCATTCCAAGACACCTTCAAGCACTTGGAAAAGCAACAGGTGCGTTTGCCTGTTATTAAAATGCATCATGTATTTTGTACCTAAATGATCCTCATTTTTTTTTTTTGTTTGTTCTCAAGCAAGGCTTTAATATTTCATTGTGTAATTTTTTTTTTCTTTTGATCTTTTCATGAAATTTTTATTTTTCTTACAGCATTCCAGTTTGGTTGTTCAAAAATCTTGAAAACTTTGACATTCTAGGAATTGTTCTGTTACAAATAGAATTAATATTTCAGTTCTGACATTCTACTCAACTCAAAAGCAATTGTTGTCATTTTTGGTTTAATTACTGTTTACCTGATACACCTGTCCTGGAATTATACAACGAATTGAATAAAACAGTTGAATAAATGGCATAAGTCCATCTGACTAAAGTAGTGATGCAATTTGATCACAATATTTTGACAAGTACACCTCAGGCTTCGTTGAACAATCAGACTGCCATAATTGAACTATTGTTCCTACTTTATCTACTGTTAATTGTAATTAGATTGAATATAATTACTTATTGAAGGTGGATCTAATTTATCTTATTTAAATTACTTGATGTTATTCTTTTAAATTTATTCTTTGCCATTGTAATTATTAGCACCGTACATGTGCTTATCAATTCCATTTAGTTAACTCTTTTATTTAAGCTGTTGTCTTTCTCTAGGACCATTGGACCTGTAAACAGTTGTCAAGCTTAATGTCTTATCGAGAATTTGTTTTAGCAGTTTTTAGCACTCAATCTGTATTTTATGGTTTGTAAATCAGGAAGAAAGGGATTGTCAGTGGTCAGGAATTAATGGCAACATTACTGAGTAATTCAAACCAATTTATTTTGATGATTTTTTTTTGATTTTTTTCTGATAGAAGTGCTTTAAAACTCATGAAGGGAGGAATTGTCAGGAGTCAGGAAATAATTTGTTACCATCAGAAGAGGTCTGTTCATAACACTTTAACATTTAGTCAACTCTTTTATTCAAGTTGTTGTCTACCTCCACTAAATTGCTTTCATTTAACCACCATAGAGAAACTTTCCTGTCTGCAATCAGCATGGCTGATGCTAGACTCCTGAAGAGTAACACACTGCACCTTCTTGGCCTCACAATTTCAACTGACTTGAAATGGAACAACTACATCGAATCAATCAAAGCTGCATCTACTGCAAGGAAAGTTGGGTCACTGTATCGTGCCAGTTGATTTTTCTCATTAGACTCTATCTTGCACATTTACAAATCTACCATTCATCTGTGCATTGAATACTGTTGCCATATTTGTTATTCATCTTGAGGTTCTTGACAAGATGCAAAGAAGGGTCTGCAATATAATTGATCCTGAATTGGTATTTTGACTTTAGTTACTTTCTCACCAACATCACATGGCTTCCCTCTGTCTTTTCTATAAATATTTTCATGGCAACTATTCTGACGAGCTTATTTCCCTGGTGTCCCAACTACATGGATTTAAGCGGTGCTACTAGATTGGCATCTAGGTCCCAACCTTTTACCTTTGAAATAGTTAAAAGTAACCGCCACTTTTACTCCAACAGTTTCATTTCTTGCCTGTGGAACTCCCTTCCAATTACTTGCATCCCTAATAACTACAATCTTCAAAAATTTAAATACAACATCAATTGCCATCTTCTATCTTCTTTAATCCTGTTCATTTCTTATGCTTTCCTCAATCACCCTATATATATATCTAGCCTTTTCTCTCACTTTCACTTTCTGTAACTTCCTGCGTACTAGTGACATTCCTGCCTTGCTTGGGGTGAAATGATTAAAAAAAATTTTTCAAGAACAAAGAAAATGTATAAATTCACTTTTATATGTTTGGGATTTATTAAAATTCTAATCATTGTTTTTAAAACAATAAACATTGCCAAGAAAGTGAAAAGAGTATACAGTATTAGCAGTTTCAAGGGAAAAAACATCCTTTTGACATACTGTTTTGTTTGCAGGCACAAATGTTAACCTTTAATAAAGATTTATACCATCAGCAATTTACTGATGATAGATTAGTAATATTGGAATAATCAGATAAATTGCAAAGAAAAATAAATGAGAGGAATAGAGAAAATCTATTTGTTTAAAAAGGTTCAATTCTAATGTTTACAAAAAAAGATCACAAAAATTAGAGGATGAAAATCTGGAAGAAGTCCTGGAATACATCTATTTAACACAGGTGGTAATACAAAAAAAGCATGGAAATTAAAGAAAATTATATATAATGATAGGGTGAAAGTATTTAAGAAAAACTATAATATAATAAAAAGTATCTTGCAGATGTACATAAAAAAATAAAGTGTACAGTGAATGTGATATCGAGTTTCATTTCATAGAAATTAATAAAATCATTTGAAAACAAAGAAAAGCACAACAAAGACCAATGGAAAGTGATAACTTTAAGAGATGGAAAAAGGTTAACATAAATCAGGGAAGAGAGGAAGATAAGAAATATCATAAAAGTGGAGATAGGCAGGACACATAGCAAGAAGAAAGGATCACGGATGGAGCAAAAGGTTGTTTGAATGGGTAGTAAATATTTTATGTTAAAGATCAGATACAGAGGGGCTTACTGGCAGTTATGAAATGAATTGGGGAAGGATTTTGTCCTACAGTCGACGAGCAATTACTGATGATGATGCTATCAACATTTATTGCAGCAACATCATTCACATTTGCTTCAACCAAATATTGGTCACCCACAAAAAGCTGCCCAACTGCAGAAACTCAATGAGGATGAAACAAACAGACATAATAAATTCAATATAGTCATTGAAAAACATTTTCAAGAACTACAAGTGAGTTTCAACATTTTCTTTCTTGATTTTTGTTCTTTTAACTGTTTGTGATTTTTAGAATTCAAATTATTGATGAGTTGGCTCTTTACTCAGGAAAATTAACTTGGATAACAATAACAACAGTTTATATATATATATATATCGGATAAAGTCCTTTTCTTGGATGAATCCACTGTCCAGCAAAAACAGCAAGTTTGTAGACCTGTTGGTGCAATACGATTACTGATTACTATATACAAGCTATGGTGAAAACGTCCTCCTCCCAGTATATAATGATTTAAGGGACTATGGTCATTAAAGGGACAACTGGACTTTTCTTCTTACCCACTGGAATGACAATGAATAGTGCGCCAGGTACCTTGAAATTCTGAAGCACAAGCTGGAACTTCATGTGGCTGTTCATGGTTGCGATACATTCATGCAGGACAGTACTTCCTGTCACCATTCAAAGATAGCTTGGATTGACCTGGTAACAGTCCAAATCCCAATCTGACTGGGTACCTGTGGACACTACAGAAAGATGAATTAGCAAATAACCAACCCAAATGCACCAAAGACCTGGAAAATTCTATAAAACAAGTCTGGATTGGTGATATAACTGCTGAATACTACAAAAATCTGGTGTATAGCATGCCACATCGTCTACAGACTGTAATAAAGAAGTTAGACATACAAAATACTGAACATTACTAAATTTGCTAGATCCTCACGAAAAAACTTCCTAATATGACTGTTTATCAAATTTGTGGATTTACTTTTTGAAGTACTACTTATTTTTATGTGATTCAATGATTTAGCATAATAAATTTATATTATAGAACACCCTATATTGCTGTATTGTATATTTTACATGAAAATCACTAGGTGGTCTTACACTTTTGCACACAACTAATATATATATATATATATAGATAGATTATATTTATATATATATATATATTGTCATCTAAATTACACAAAAATGAAACAGATATATTGACCAAAAATTACACAAAAATATCTTGAAATACTAAAGAGTAAATTTATTCAATAAAATCACCATTAGCTTCAACCACGGCCTCCAGACGACTTTGGAATCACCTGCTTCTCTTCTGGACGGTCTCCTTGTTTAAGTTGGTGAATGCTGCCATAATCCTTGCCTTCCGTTCATCTTTTTGGAGTTTTTTTGGTCTCTTGCTCAACTGTGCCTCACACATAATAAGCAAGGGGGTTGCCAGATGTAAGTGGGTGATGTTGTCTGACAGTAATGACAGGGTTCTCCTGTTTGTGTGGCATGGTGCAGAGTCCTGTTGCCAGACATAGGATCTTCCAGCAGCTACCCTCTTGACCCTAGGCAGCACTACCTCTACAAGGCAAATGATGTAGGCCTCCGTGTTGAGTCTGGGGCCCTCACTAACAAATTCAGGAGTTCTTTTCTTATCAGAATGATCAGAGAGTTTTCCGAGCTGCCATAACTTCATAATCACCATCAAACTCTTCCAATTGTTTCCAAATCCTCTGCACTGTCCTCGAATTGACACGCAAACACTCTGTTTGTATTGGAGCTTCCAGTGCAAATGCCAAGCAGTACAGCATGCTGTTTCCAAATTTCTGGCAGAATGAATTGAATCATGGTGCGCTTCTCACAGATGGTACCTAGGTGACCCTGTAATATTGCACAGTCAACAAAATCAAAAACAAATAATGTACATGTGCAAAATTAAAAATATAAAATGGCAACAATTTACCAATCGTACTCTGAATGTATGTGTGTATTTGCCTAAATATTATGTCCATATAAGTTGTGTCAGTTCAATCAAGGTTCGTCTGTTTCATTTTTGTTGTTTTTTTTTCAATTTCAATCTTAATTTTCTCACCTTGATTACATTCAAAATCATTTATGTTATCTTGTGGGAGATAATCATTGATATCCTAAAAGGATACAGCACAAAGAGAGAAAGAAAGAACAGGAGAGACAGATCATGGAAAGAGATCATGAAAGAAAGAACAGGGAGAGACAGATGGAAAGAGATCTGGAAAGAAAGAAGAGGAGAGAGACAGATCAGAAAGAAAGAAAGGGAGAGACAGATCACGGAAAGATCGTGGGAAAGAATAGGGAGAGACAGACGAAACGAAAGAAAGAAAGTGATCGGAAAGAGAAATGAAAGAAAGAACAGGAGAGACAGGAGAAAGAGATCATGAAAGAAAGAACAGGGAGAAAGAGAGAGATCGCGGAAAGAAAGAACGGAAAGAGATCATGGGAAAGAAAGAACAGGAGAGACAGATCATGGAAAGAGATCGCGAAAGAAAGAAAAAGAAATGGAAAGAGAAAGAAAGAAAGAACAGGGAGAGACAGACGAAAGAGATCATGAAAGAAAAGAACAGGGAGAGAAAGAAAGATCGGAAAGAAAGAACAGGGAGAGACAGAACGAAAGAGAGAGAAAGAGCAGAGCAGTGGAGAAAGAGATCATGAAAAGAAAGAAGGAGAGACACAGAAAGAGATCAAGGAAAGAAAGAACAGAGAGACAGTGGAGGAAAGAAAGAACAGGAGAGACAGATCACGGAAAGAGATCATGGAAAGAAAGAAAGGGAGAACACGGGAGAGAGACAGATCACGGAAAGAGATCGCGGAAAGAAAGAACAGGCAGAGACAGATCACGGAAAGAGATCATGGAAAGAAAGAACAGGGAAAGAAAGAATCATGGAAAGAAAGAACAGGCAGAGACAGATCACGGAAAGAGATCGGAAAGAAAGAACAGGCAGAGGAAAGAGATCGCGGAAAGAAAGAACAGGAGAGACAGATCACGGAAAGAGATCGCGGAAAGAAAGAACAGGCAGAGACAGATCACGGAAAGAGAAGAAAGAAAGAACAGGGAGAGACAGTGGAGAAAAAGATCATGGAAAGAAAGAGGGAGAGACAGATCACGGAAAGAGATCGTAGAAAGAAAGAACAGGGAGAGACAGTGGAGAAAGAGATCATGGAAAGAAAGAACAGGGAGAGACAGATCATGAAAGAGATCATGGAAAGAAAGAGGGGAGAGACAGATCACGGAAAGTGATCATGGAAAGAAAGAGAGACAGATCACGGAAAGAGATCAGGGAAAGAAAGAACAGGGAGAGACAGATCACGGAAAGTGATCGCGGAAAGAAAGAATAGGGAGAGACAGATCACGGAAAGAGATGGAAAGAAAGAACAGGGAGAGACAGATCACGGAAAGAGATCGCGGAAAGAAAGAAAGGGAGAGAGAGAAAGTGAGATCGAAAGAAAGAAAGAGATCACGGAAAGAGATCATGGAAAGAAAGAGGGAGAGACAATCACGGAAAGAGATCATGGAAAGAAAGAACAGGGAGAGACAGATCACGGAAAGAGATCATGGAAAGAAAGAACAGGGAGAGACAGATCACGGAAAGATCATGGGAAAGAAAGAAGGGAGAACAGGGAGAGACATGAAAGAAAGAACAGGGAGAGGAACAGAAAGACGGAAAGAAAGAACAGGGAGAGACAGGAGAAAGAGATCATGAAAAGGAAAGAAAAGAACAGAGGAGATCATGGAAAGAAAAAGAACAGGGAGAGACAGATCACGGAAAGAGATCGGGAAAGAAAGAAAGAGATCAGAAAGAGATCGCGAAAGAAAGAACAGGGAGAGAAAGAAAGAGATCAAGGAAAGAAAGAACAGGGAGAGACAGATCACGGAAAGAGATCATGAAAGAAAGAAAAGAAAGAACAGAAAGAGATCATGGGAAAGAAAGAGACAGGGAGAAAGAGATCATGGAAAGAAAGAACAGGGAGAGACAGATCACAGAAAGAGATCATGAAAGAAAGAAAGGAGAGAGAGACAGAAAGAGATCATGGAAAGAAAGAACAGGGAGAGACAGATCACGGAAAGAGATCATGGAAAGAAAGAACAGGGAGAGAGGATCACGGAAAGAGATCGCGGAAAGAAAGAAAGGAGAGACAGATCATGAAAGAAAGAACAGGCAGAGACAGATCACGGAAAGAGATCATGGAAAGAAAGAACAGGCAGAGACAGACACGGAAAAAAGATCGGAAAGAAAGAGGAGAGACAGTGGAGAAAAGAGAAAGAAAGAACAGGAGAGACAGATCACAGAAAGAGATCAAGGAAAGAAAGAACAGGGAGACAGGAGAAAGAGATCATGGAAAGAAAGAACAGGGGAGACAGATCACGGAAAGAGATCATGAAAGAAAGAACAGGAGAGACAGATCACGGAAAGAGCGGAAAGAAAGAACAGGGAGAGACAGATCATGGAAAGAGATCATGGAAAGAAAGAACAGGCAGAGACAGATCACGGAAAGAGATCGGAAAGAAAGAACAGGAGAGACAGATCACGGAAAGAGATCATGGAAAGAAAGAACAGGGGAGAGACAGTGGAGAAAGAGATCGCAGAAAGAAAGAACAGGGAGAGACAGTGGAGAAAGAGATCGCGGAAAGAAAGAACAGGGAGAGACAGATCACGGAAAGAAAGAACAGGCAGAGACAGATCACGGAAAGAGATCGCGGAAAGAAAGAGGCAGAGACAAAGAAAGAGATCATGGAAAGAAAGAACAGGCAGAGACAGATCGGAAAGAGAAGGAAAGAAAGAACAGGCAGAGAAAGATCACGGAAAGAGAGGGAAAGAAAGAGGGAGAGACAGGGAAAAAAAAAGAAAGAAAAGAACAGGGAGAGACAGATCACGGAAAGAGATCACTGTGAGAAAGAAAGAAAGAAGAACAGGAGAAAGAGATCGCGGAAAGAAAGAACAGGGAGAGACAGATCACGGAAAGAGATCGCGGAAAGAAAGAATAGGGAGAGACAGATCACGGAAAGTGATCGTGGAAAGAAAGAACAGGAGAGACAGATCACGGAAAGAGAATGGAAAGAAAGAACAGGGAGAGACAGATCACGGAAAGAGATCATGGAAAGAAAGAACAGGGAGAGACAGATCACGGAAAGAGGGAAAGAAAGAACAGGGAGAGACAGATCACGGAAAGAGATCGCGGAAAGAAAGAAAGAGATCGGAAAGTGAAAAGAAAGAACAGGAGAGACAGACAGATCACGGAAAGAGATGGAAAGAAAGAACAGGAGAGACAGATCGGAAAGAGATCATGGAAAGAAAGAACAGGGAGAGACAGATCATGAAAGAGATCGCGGAAAGAAAGAACAGGGAGAGAAGTGGAGAAAGAACATGGAAAGAAAGAACAGGGAGAGACAGATCACAGAAAGAGATCGCGGAAAGAAAGAACAGGGAGAGACAGTGGAGAAAGAGATCGCGGAAAGAAAGAACAGGGAGAGACAGATCACGGAAAGAGATCGCGGAAAGAAAGAACAGGGAGAGACAGATCACGGAAAGAGATCGCGGAAAGAAAGAACAGGGAGAGACAGATCACAGAAAGAGATCGCGGAAAGAAAGAACAGGGAGAGACAGTGGAGAAAGAGATCGCGGAAAGAAAGAACAGGGAGAGACAGATCACGGAAAGAGAGAAAGAAAGAACAGGCAGAGACAGATCGGAAAGAAAGAAAGGAGGGAAAGAAAGAGATCATGGAAAGAAAGAACAGGGAGAGACAGATCACAGAAAGAGATCATGGAAAGAAAGAAAGACAGTGGAGAAAGAGGAAAGAAAGAACAGGGAGAGACAGATCACTTGGAAAGAGATCGCGGAAAGAAAGAACAGGGAGAGACAGATCACGGAAAGAGATCGCGGAAAGAAAGAACAGGCAGAGACAGATCACGGAAAGAGATCGCGGAAAGAAAGAACAGGCAGAGACAGATCACGGAAAGATCATGGAAAGAAAGAACACAGAGACAGATCACGGAAAAAGATCATGGAAAGAAAGAACAGGGAGAGACAGATGGAGAAAGAGATCATGGAAAGAAAGAACAGGGAGAGAGACAGACAGAAAGAGACAGAGACAGTGGAGAAAGAAGAAAGAAAGAACAGGGAGAGACAGATCACGGAAAGAGATCGCGGAAAGAAAGAACAGGAGAGACGGAAAGAGATCACGGAAAGAAAGAACAGGGAGAGAGATCACGGAAAGAGATCGCGGAAAGAAAGAACAGGCAGAGACAGATCACGGAAAGAGATCATGGAAAGAAAGAAGAGACAGATCACGGAAAGAGGAAAGAAAGAACAGGGAGAGACAGTGGGAAAGAGATCGTAGAAAGAAAGAACAGGGAGAGAAAGAGAAAGAATCATGGAAAGAAAGAACAGGGAGAGAGATCACGGAAAGAGATCATGGAAAGAAAGAAAAGAGACAGATCACGGAAAGTGATGGAAAGAAAGAACAGGAGAGACAGATCACGGAAAGAGATCATGGAAAGAAAGAATAGGAGAGAGAAGATCACGGAAAGAAAGAAACAGGGGAGAGACAGATCGGAAAGAGATCATGAAAGAAAGAACAAGAGACAGATCGCGGAAAGAAAGAAAGGGAGAGACAAAAAGTGATCGCGGAAAGAAAGAACAGGGGAGACAGATCACAGATCGCGGAAAGAAAGAACAGGGAGAAGAAAGAGATCATGGAAAGAAAGAAGAACAGGGAGAGACAGAGTGGAAAGAGATCGCGGAAAGAAAGAACAGGGAGAGACAGATCACGGAAAGAGATCATGGGAAAGAAAGAACAGGGAGATCAGGAGAAAGAGATCAGGAAAGAAAGAACAGGGAGAGACAGAAAGGGAGAGACAGTGGAGAAAGAGATCATGGAAAGAAAGAACAGGGGAGACAGATCACGGAAAGAGATCATGGAAAAAGAAAGAACAGGGAGAGACAGATCACGGAAAGAGATCATGGAAAGAAAGAACAGGGAGAGACAGATCACGGAAAGAGATCGCGGAAAGAAAGAACAGGCAGAGACAGATCACGGAAAGAGATGCGGAAAGAAAGAACAGGCAGAGACAGAGAAAGAGATCGGAAAGAAAGAACAAGGGAGGGACAGTGGAGAAAGAGATCATGGAAAAAGAAAGAACAGGGGAGAGACAGATCAGCGGAAAGAAAGAACAGGAGAGAAGTGGAGATCGCGGAAAGAAAGAACAGGAGAGACAGACACGGAAAGAGATCATGGAAAGAAAGAACAGGGAGATCACGGAAAGAAAAAAAAGAACAGGGAGAGACAGATCACGGAAAGAAAGAACAGGCAGAGACAGATCACGGAAAGAGATCAGGAAAGAAAGAACAGGCAGAGACAGATCAGCGGAAAGAAAGAACAGGGAGAGACAGTGGAGAAAAGATCATGGAAAGAAAGAACAGGGAGAGACAGATCACAAAAGAGATCATGGAAAGAAAGAACAAGGGAGAGACAGATCGCGGAAAAAGAAGGGAGAGACAGATCACGGAAAGAGAAAGAAAAGAACAGGGAGAGACAGATCACGGAAAGAGATCGCGGAAAGAAAGAACAGGGAGAGACAGATCACGGAAAGAGATCGCGGAAAGAAAGAACAGGCAGAGACAGATCACGGAAAGAGATCGCGGAAAGAAAGAACAGGGAGAGACAGATCAGACAGAGATCATGAAAGAAAGAGAGAGACAGTGGAGAAAGAAAGAAAGAACAGGGAGAGACAGTGGAGAAAGAGATCGCGGAAAGAAAGAACAGGGAGAGACAGATCACGGAAAGAGATCGCGGAAAGAAAGAACAGGGAGAGACAGTGGAGAAAGAGATCGCGGAAAGAAAGAACAGGGAGAGACAGATCACGGAAAGAGAAAAGGAAAGAAAGAACAGGGAGAGACAGATCACGGAAAGAGATCGCGAAAAGAAAGAAGGGAGAGACAGATCATGAAAAAACGGAAAAGAAAGAACAGGAGAGACAGATCACGGAAAGAGATCGCAGAAAGAAAGAACAGGAGAGAAAGAAAGAGATCATGGAAAGAAAGAACAGGCAGAGACAGATCGCGGAAAGAGATCGCGGAAAGAAAGAACAGGGAGAGACAGTGGAGAAAGAGATCATGAAAAGAAAGAAAGAAAGACAGATCACAGAAAGAGATCGCTGGAAAGAAAGAAAGGGAGAGACAGGAGAAAGAGATCGCGGAAAGAAAGAACAGGGAGAGACAGATCACGGAAAGTGATCGCGGAAAGAAAGAACAGGGAGAGACAGATCACGGAAAGAGATCGCGGAAAGAAAGAACAGGGAGAGACAGATCACGGAAAGAGATCGCGGAAAGAAAGAACAGGGAGAGACAGATCGCGGAAAGAAAGAACAGGGAGAGACAGATCGCGGAAAGAGATCATGAAAGAAAGAAAAGAACAGGGAAAGAGACGCGGAAAGAAAAAAGAAAGAAAGAAAGAACAGGGAGAGACAGATCACGGAAAGAGATCGCGGAAAGAAAGAACAGGGAGAGACAGAAAGAAAGAAAGAAAGAAGCAAGCAGACAGACAGACATTGCAGAGAGAAAGAAAGATTCAAGGAAAATGTAGTCAAGAAAAAGAACTGATTTGAAATTTAGATTTTGATTATAAAACTTAATTTATTTTATTTTCACTGACCTTCTAATAATCTGGCACAGCTTGACAGATGCTGGATTAACAAGGCTCATTGCAGTTAAATATCAGACAACATATCTATTTAATTATTCCTGATGCCAACATCACAAGATGTCCCATATTACTGCAACAAATAGTTGAATTGAACAAAAAAAGAAGCTGTTGTCAAATAAAAGTTTTGTTTTTTTTGCCTTTGTTACCCAAAATGAATTTAAGGGATGACCCATAAAATCCAATTGCAGCTAAAATACTTCTCTTCTTGAAAAGAATTTGGCCAAAGTTAACGAGGAAGTCTTCTTGCAATGATTTCTGTCCTGATTAAATCAGGTGAAAATCATTTCAAGGAATTTAAATATGGTACTCTTTTTGTGTTTTTCAGAAATGTAGCATAAAGTGCAGTGAATCCTTTCTTCAGGAATTGGTGAAGTGCAGTGAGAAACTTTTGTTGCAGTTCGATGACTTGCTGATCAGTTCAGAAGTGCTACCTGGAAGTGAGTCATTTATTCAATTTCATTTAATTGTAAAATACATTATTTCAAAGAATGTTTTCATGTAAACACATTTTGCATCTTAGTGGCTTTATTACCCTAATAGGGGTGAAATGATTAAAAATAAAGAGTGCATACAACAAATGTCTAGTCTTTAATGATAAATATAATCAATATTTAATTGATTTGATTTTTTACTGTTTATCAACCCTTTGTGGGTTATTTAAAGCTGAAATATATTTTGGATGGTAAGAATAATTATCTATACAAGTGAATATTGCATTAATTTTTTTAGGAATAACTATGATTTTACTAGCTACAAGTCTATTTAACCCATAGCTGGGGAGAGGGGATGGATTTCTACCTTTCCCAAAGGTATATGCATATAAATGAATGTAACAAACCTGACTGGAATTTGATCTCAGCTCTCTCCAATTTCTCATTTTGAGCCGCTACCAATTACACCACCCACCCAAGATTTAATCAAAGCTGCTAGTTTATTTTGTCACTTGTGTGTCCATGAATGTATACACACACACACACACACATATGTATATATAAAAACACAAACATAAAAATTTAATATTTATTTAGTTTGCTCTTTTCTAAACTGAACAGGAGAGTCGATCTTATGTAGCTATGTATGCATATATATGGTAAGTGGCCACTCATATCTGAGGAAGTCCATTGATTAGGGCAGCTAGCCAATCCCTATTGTAGACGCCTGCTCAGGCACATTTGTGTTTGTTCACCATTCTCAGAGCCCATCCGTGGTTTATACAGCATCTATGCTGAGTGGACCTTAGAGTTTCTGGGAGAGAGCACATTATCTAGCATGATGAACAGTCTGAACAAGACCAGTATGATCAAACTCTTGGTCACGATGACTTGTGACTGAGTGCTAGCACAACTATCAACAGCTCCTAAATAGTTCAGTCTACACAATTTCACTCACAAGGCTTGGGTCAATCCATGCTATGGTTTTCAGGCACTTTCTAAAGGGTCTGCATGCTGGGATCACCCCCTCCCCAGACCTTCCTGATAAATCAACCACGATGAGATTCAAACCCAAGTCTAATGGTCAGGATGCAAACATTATAACCTCTCAATGCTATATATGATGAAAAGATAGTTTCGAAAACTCTTTTTGAAATTTGATAGATTTCACGTAGTTCGTCACTCTTCTGTTAAACTAAATTTGGTTTCCTTTTGCTTAAAGGTTGTTGAATATTAACGAACTCAGTGCCTGTACGGGAAGACAAATATTGATATTTTTTTTTTGTGCTCTACTTTTTCTTAAGAAGCCATCATTTAAATCTAGGAAAATATTTCCTTTAAAATTGATTCCTCCTTCTAATTTGGCAGATAATATGTGAAATGTTGATTTTTAGTTAAAAACAAAAAGACATTGGAACGTGACATTTGAAATGGGATAAACTTATGTTCGTTTGAATAAGAAAACCTTTTCTGTCTATCATCTCGGTCTATTAACCTGAGCATCCCGTGAAAGTCATTACAAGTGATGATCGGTAAACAATGTCATTTGTGGGCATTTAAGATATAATCGACAATTTTCTTGTTAATGTTCAATCTGTTTTTGAGGACTGAGTCTACTTTCAGAGAGTGATCCTTTGAGAGCAAAGCAAGCATCAGATTTCCGTAATCCCGAGTCAGAGAAATTGAAAGTAAGCTTTGAAAAAAAGCGTGGCATATGGCCAGGTAAGTTCTTCATTGATGACTGAAGTTTAACTCTTACTCTTCGTAAAAGAGATCAAAAAAAAAAAAAAACACACACACAAAGCTATACAAAAATGGGGTGCTTTCATTGGGTTTCTACCCTGTAGGGAGTAAAATTATTACACTCCTGTCTCAAATTTAAAAAAATGAGTTACTTGTTCAAATAATACACAGTGCCTTTCTTTTCAACATGAAAGAAGAAAAAAAATAAACATTTACAGATATTCAATCCTATTAAAATGAATACGTTTTGTTTTAATTATTAATAATCCAGTTTGGTTTGCAAAATTCATCTGGTTATGGGCTGTTAAGTTCAAATTAAATTCTAAATTTACCAACAAAGAATAGCAAACAATTTCTTTTTCAATTTGAGATTAAATATTAAAATTTTTTTTTTTTTTTTTTGTTTGTAGGTGTGTCACTTGTTGAATTGTACACAAAATCTTTGATGAAGTCTCCATTTTCAAAGAAAACATCACCCTTGATAAATACAGTAAAGAACACTCTGCCCCAGCAATCAACTTTTCAATCAAGGAATGACGTCTTCCAGGTATGATCTCTGACACATTGACAGATTTTTTGCTTTATTTAACAGTTCTGCTGTTTCCATCAAATAAGAAATTTTAATTAATATCCGTTTTCAACTGATTTTGTTTTTTTTTCACTTGTTCTGCTCAGAAAGATTACATGCAAAAATATCATCTTATTCAGCTGGAGGATTTTCTATCTTGTTATTTGACAGTATCTAGAACCTTTTTTTTTTCTTCTTTTAAATGCCATTGAACTTAAACAGAAACTTAGGTACTGGTTAGAAAGCCATGGGGGATTTGGGGGTCAAGGAAATCCTCCTCCCAAGCTTATTGAGACCATGGTATTTCAATCATGGCACCATATGTCAACTATGGGAAAGATAGTAGTTCCCTATGATTTGGAATTCACAGTTGTCCACTGCTTCCATCCAAGGCCAGAGAGCCCAGTCTACTCTACTATTTAACCAATAGTTAGCAAAGAAAAATCGGATTCATGTCTTACTCAAGGGAATTTGCATGAAAACAAGTGCACTTATATAAAATCAAAAAAATCTCCCTTGGAATTTATTACCAAATTTCATCAGATCACAATTTGCCTAAGACATTTTGAATTTTTAAAACACTTACTTTTGAAAAGAAAATGATTTCCAATTTAATTTTTTTCTCCCTTTAAACAATGCAGTAAGATTCATTCAAATATGTATCATACCTCATGCCACACTTTGCTAATGTCATGAGGAAGGGGGAGAAGTTCTTTAATTTTGGATGACTTAGTCCAAAACTGTATGTGAAAATGCAGCCCATAAAATGTCATCTACTACTTTACGCATAACATGAAAAGTAACAATAATTAAGTAATTTTGCAATTTCCTAAATAATCTCAGATTTTATTTTGATAAGTAACTATTGTCACAAACTTTAAAAATATCTAAACACTAACCTAAGATATATAGAAAACAATGTATTAGCATCCTGCTGTACACTTATTAAATTAATGATTGTTGTACTTAAATATTGGTAACGCTTTTCTAATAAGTTTTCTTTTCTTTACCCCCCCACTCCTCCCTGAAATGTTGGCAGATTTATGTGAGCAGCTTTGAGAGAAGAATTGCATCCATGGAGAAGAGGAAGAAAAAATTGTTGCATGAAGAGCAAAGATGGTTTGAACACTGGAAAACATCAATAGAAAATATTAAGCAATTATTTGTTTGATTTTCAAATCCCAATTAAGTGAACATGGATGAGCTTTTGTTTTGAAGATTGAAACTTTTTTTTTTTTTTATCTCATGCAATTTATTTCCAATTTCTGTAAAAACGTTTTCTTTTCAATAAAATTCAAGTTAATGCAATAAAAGAAACTAACTTGCATCTCCATTTGGACTGTTTTCTTTGTGCAGATTTCAAACTAACACTAATCTTCAATTTTATATATATGAATATATACAAGTTTCATTAAAGACAGCAGGCAAGATACTGCGATTAAGATTTTTATATAATTTATCTTGTATTCGATATACTTTTAGCTATTATCAAGGATAATTTTATTTTAATGGAATGTCTGACACTCCCTATCACATATGTGAGCTGAATATATATATATATATATATATAAAGTTTATTAAATCAGAGAAATGAATTAGCTATTTTTGCCGTAAGTGACATAAATTTTATTTAATATAAAACTTTAAAAATCGTAATATACATACTTATACTTGATGTGGAATTTTACTTACTGTAAGTAATTCTAATACATATAGTCTATTAAAACTAACAATGAAAATATTTTAAAATTGTAGTTAAATAAAAAGTATTCCAACCTAAAGACTTCCCTCTTAGTACTACAAGCACTTAAAAGAATCCAATAAAACACACACACATATATCTCTTGATCCGACAGTATGAAGAAAAATATACTGAAAAAACAAAAATCCTAATATGCGATTATGCTGTTTTAATGTTAACGTCGGACGTTTTGGTCTAATAGACCATCTTCAGAACATATTCATAAAACATAATTAACATAGACCATATACAATTCAAAATATATAAAAAAAACCAAAACTAATCCTTTTTGTATACTCATCCTCCCTCTACAATTAAGCATCTACCTTTATCTATCAAAAAGTGAAGTAGAAATTCACAAAATGAAAAAAATTTTCTATGATCATATTAACTTTTATAATACAGCTCCAAATGGTAGTGTCTACAAAATCAAATGTTAAATTATATAAAAAATTAAAGTGGAATGTATAGAAACTTAGAAATAAAAAAATTTTATCAACCCCCCCCATGCAACCAAACTGTAACAACAATTTCAGATAGAAATTCCTTGCATTAATCTTTAAACATTTTCTTAAAGACAGTAAACTCATTATTCTTAATAAAAATACCCTAAAATTAAGTTACATTTGTACTGATAAGTCAGAAATTATTAAGAAATATAATGCTATTATATTTTTGTCTAAGTGTTTCCTCAAGATAAGAAATTTACTCATTAGAAAGAGATGAAAAAAAAAACTGCAGAAATCCTCAAAACTTTCCTCTTAATAATGTCACACTGAATCATTAGTGTACCAATGCATTATCTCATCTATAGAGCCTTTGATGCACAAGTCATGAATTCAAAAAGCCTGTCAACAAACATCAAAGCTCTTTAAGAATAAATATCAAATCAGCCATCCCTATCTGAATATTTCTGGCACTTAAAAGAAACCAATACCAAATGTGAAATGAAACTGAATAAGAAAAGTTAGAATATGTACATCATTAAATGACTCATGTCCTTTGTGCATACATGAGAAATTATACATTAGGTTTATAAAAATAGAATTTTACTTAATCACAAAAATGTAAGAACTATTATTTGTCGACATTATCAAAGATTTTCCTTTAAAAAAAAAAAAAAAAAAAAAAAATGAAACATACATATTTATATTTGATATTTTAAATAAGTTTTAAATAATACACTAATTCTAATACATTTATTTTTTTTAAAAAGAATTATAGTCTATTAATAATTACAATTAGGAATAATATTTTAAAATTCTATTTTAATACAATATACTCATATTCAAACAATCCTTCTGGAAAATAATCTTTATGTATACAATTACAAATTTAACAGCAAAACAAAAGTGCCAAAAAAGTTTGTCATTGAAAAAAAAAAAAAAAAAAAAAAAAACAGATGACATGCGAAAAATGGATGTCATCATTTATTGAACATGCAACCATACCCTACCTTAACCTCATTTCAAAAGTAACATATTCTGATCCAATAGTTCTTACTGAAAATGAACACCCTACCACCCCTTGTCGAAATGATTTTATTTCCCCATGTCCTTAGCAACTAATATTATGAATGTATGTGCTTATAAAACTCAGTAAATTTCAAAATAAGTTATTCCAAAATTTGCTTGAAAATGAAACAGTTCTGGGGATTTTAATTCTGTAATTGAATTTTAATTTTTTTACCTTGTTTTTGAAACATGGTACTTCCTGTGTAGCCATGGAACCATATTTTTAAATTAGTAAATATATATATATATACATACGTATAAATAGTTACTCACTTGGTTTTTTTTTTCCCCTTTGGACTGGGAATTTAAAGCACTGAATGATTTTTTTCACCCTGACCAGTCCTTTCTTGTTCATTCGTTGTTGATGTTAACCAGAATCAGAGGAAATGGAAGGTGTTTGTTCACAAACATGAAAAGTGATACTTGCATTTCGAGTTGGGATGAAAATGAGACATTTTCACCCTACAGATCATTTTAAGATTTTTTTTTTTTTTAATCAAAACGGAAAAAAAAAAAAATGTTCACTTTATAGAATAGAAAGTCAGTAAACATGATATTTATTAATGTGTTCAAAATATTTTTTTCCTTTTGGACAACTCTTCCAATACAAATATCACAGGGAGAGACAGAAAACACACAAAACAATTGTTTGATTATTTAAGTAACAGCCTTTTTTTCTTTTGAAGACTGAGCCATTTTATTTTCTGTTCAAGTACAAAAATTTGCAGTGAAGATCAGAATTCTAAAAATCAAAACAGGAAAAGAAAAGCAAAAAAAAAAAAAAAAAAAAAATTACATTGTAAAAGGAGGAGAGAGATGAATTTTCTGTTTTCCGGAATCTTGGAAGTTGTGTGTTAATGAGAAAAAGAAGAAAAAAAAAAAAAGAAAGAAAAAAAAAAAAAAAGACATCCAGGCAACGGAGAAAAACCTAGTCGACCTCCCAACAATTGTTGCTAGGGATATTGAGTCCTTTTGTTCTAAACGTTTACCTTGTTTGAGAAAAAGAAAAGGATCCATGTCAGGAAAATAAGTAAAATAAAACTTTGCTTTCTTTTCCTCACTCAGGTCCAAAGTTTCAGTTTTTTGGGGTTTTTATTTTCTCATTAAAACCAGTTTTAATCAACTTACTTGGAAAATTTAAAGGAAAAAGAACAAAAATAAATAATAAAGAAAAAAAATCTCTGGCATCCAAAATGGCTATTATGTTTCATGACTAACACAATGACTTCACTACTGATTTTAAATGTATAACAGTCCTTTCAAGTGAGCCTGATACGTTTTGTTTTTAACCTCGCCAAACTTGTTCAAGAACTTATATACAAAGTAATTATATGAATATTTAGAGGACAACCTTAAGAAACTCTGTGAAAATCCTCAAACTGGATTGAAATAGCAACTTTAAATGCTTTTGTTTGGAATAAGTGAAGACAAAATGCAATGCCAACAAATGAAAAGTTGCTTTCATTCTTTTCTGCTTTTTAATTAGACTCCAAACAAGATGAAGGGGAGGGAGGGGAGAAAAGTCATGGGTTAATCATGCCTCAAGTTTTTTTCTGACCATCACAATTCTCTTCCAGAAAAAGAGAATTCTTTTCTACACAATTAATATCACAAATTTTGGTTTGGTTGAAACAGATCAAAAATATGAGGCAGTTTCAATTCTACATTTTACACAAATTGTTTCCCCCAACACCATTTTTTTTTCTCCCCAGTCCTTTCATGTGATCTTTCAATGTGAACAAACTCTGAAATTCTGTCAAAGAAAATAAGACAATGTCATAAGTGCAAAAGTTCACACACAATAAAGCCCCGATAGACACGTGTGCAAACATGCACGTTTTACATATGTAATATACATAAGGAAATAAAAAGAAATAGCTAAAACCATTTTCAAGTTCTAGTTTCACTAATCAGAGCCAATGGTAGCAACAGTCACCGTTTGTCACCCAAATAAGTGAAGCCAAATTGAAGGACTAATAAGAAGAAGAATAATAATAATAATCCTGGCATCAAATTGCATTTTCTTTGCAAAATCTGATGCACTGGTGGAGATCTGCTAACAAAGCAAAAGCTGAGGGCACCAGATATAATTGGCAGCAGCAGTTATAAGTCAACAGCACCAACATTCATTTTGGTAATGAACGGGAACCAGGGGAGGATGATAAACTAATGAACACCTTTTCTTTTTTCTATAAGGACAGTAGAGAAGAAAGGGAATACATACACACACACACAAGGGAAGGTAGTTTCCTTTTTTCAAGCCATGCAGCTGTGGTTGTGCAAGAGAGTATAGCAAGAAAATAAATTTTTTTTTTTCTTATTTAGACCATGTAATAATGACTAAAAGAAAATTAGTCAGTCCGTCCATTATAGGAATTTATTATTTCTATAAGGTTTTAATACAAATTACTATAATTCTATTGAACTTTGAGACTTAAACATAAAAATACATGTGGACAGCTGTCTTCTGTCAAGAAAAGAAGTGCAGGTTTGGCAACAACCAAAGGAAAGAGGGTATGAAAAATGAAAGACTTGCACTTTTGAGATATTTGAACAAATTTTGTAAAATGGCAAATGCTGTCTTGACCAATTTCAAAATCTATAATTTCAATCTTAACCTTTAGCACACTGCATTATTATTTTCCATTCCACTGCATTCTTTTTCAAGACCTCTCAGTTGAAGGGCCCTTATTGTTAATTTCACTTAAAGGTGTTTTCTGTTGCCATAGCAGGATATGAAATTCAAACACTGTTGTTCAGGTATCAGTCACATTCAGTGACAGTCTATACTTTTTGTACATTATATAAAATCACATACAGAGTGATAATGGTTAATGAACATATATATATATATATATATATATATATATATGAATGAACATATTAACCATAACAGACAAGGAATGTCTATTATGT